CCTGGTGTATGCTGTCGCACCTGGTGAAAGCACAAGGGTTATCCTCAAACCCCCGTCAGTGAGGTCAGTAAGAGTGCGGTCACGGCTTCGATGGTGTCGGTTGCCTCGGACCGGACTCCGGCGCCGGCCACTGAGCTGTTCAGCCCTCCTCCCTGTGCTCCCTGGCGGCAGGCTGTATCGACTGACGTGGGTACCACAACCACCGAGGGGCGGCTGTGCGGACGGAGCCGGCCGCGCGGCCGTTGGAGGACGGCTAGGCTCGTGTCCAGCCCGGCTGGGGCCTGCGTCGCGACCCTGCTACTTCCCTGTCCCGGCGGGCAACTGTTGGCGCCCAAGGGAGTCTGCGCCTTACGAAAGACAGCGGAGGACTCGGCCTTCGTGCGCTCCAGCTTCCGCGCCCTTAAAACGACCTCAGGGGAGGGGGTTACCGCCGGGACCTACGAGCCTCCTCCGTGCGCGGTCCGCACCCCGGTTGGAGGGGGTCACGGTCACCCCTCCCGGGCTTGGTTCCTGACCTGCGTCGCCCTCAAAGGGTGGAGGGCCCGAGACCTGACCTCGTGTCCGGCTGGGCTCTGCCGAAGTTGGGAGCCGTCAAGCGGACCGGCCAGGCGCGAGAATCCGTACCGGTCACCACACTTAGGACACGGCTGACGCACGCTGCTGACTTTCAGCCTCTCACCCCACATACATGCGCTCACAGCATGCCACTGAGGTTTTTTACAATGGAACATGCGTGGCTGGAAAGCGAGTATTTTGACCTCCACTTTCATCTTATGTTAAGCCAGTTGTGGCATGCGTATAGGATACCGAGTTTTCAACTGTCGCGTTCCTTAGCATTAAATGATATGCTACCTTTCGAAAGGATGTGAGGACCGCCACGTTTGCTCGCCGTAAGGGACGGCCGTAGTGAATCGCAGTATATGTACCGTGCTCACTGGTAATTCTAGCCACTGACCTTTAGGTTGTCATTGTCGATCCTGTTACACTGAAATTAATTATATGTTTGGCATACCTACATCCCGCTGAGGAAGTGTCGGACTCCGCATTGCAATCGAGTTTCGACCAGCTGCCGCGGCCGTTCGTGCTGCCGGGTAACATCGACTCCATAGATATTCTTATCGCTGTGGTCACGCAAGCCGCCGAGGCTTGCTCCTCAAACGCTCACTAAAGTTGAATGGCCTGTGCGTTCTAAACACCGGCCGTCTCACCCATGTGTCTCCTCCGTTCGGGTCTATCTCAGCGACAGATCTCGCTGTATGCTCCCCACTATTTTTTTTTTTTTGTCGGTTGTCTTGGCGCGTTAACCTTTTGATGTGATAGATTTATCACAATATAAATGAATTTTAGTTTCATTGCAATGTGGCTTGTGACGAACACCGCACACCCAGGCCAAAGACTTCCCTGTTGGAATTTGCGTGGAGCGGCCTGGCAGCGGTGCACGGAAGAACGCTTTTGTGATGCAGCCGACGGGGGGGGCGATAATGCGACTTCTGTTACCGAGCAAGTGACATTGCTTATTCGTGAGACGAGGAGGTCGTGCATTCCCACCACATCACGCTTGCCAGGCAGAATCCCTGTCCCTCGGAGGTCGAACAACTGCAAAGCAATCATTCGTAAATGAAAGCGTGCCGTCAAGTTTTGTTAGTGCTGTTAACCTTTCCTTAATGGAAGGATTGAACACCTTTCAAGGTTTTTACGTATTTTTCAGTGACAGTCTGATCGTCTTTAAAGGGAGTATGCCGCCTTTTTGTACCTTTCACTCGTTACATCTGACGCTTACGCTTGGATCAGCAGTACTAGTTTTCTCGAAATCCTTCGGCGTAGCTCAGATTCTCTCAGAAAGTAGCCACTCCTCCGGGAGAAAGCACACTGGATTCCCTGCTTACTTCTATGAAAATGATACAACTCGTTTGCTTTGCTTTTTCCAACGCGTGTGCTGTGTCATGTTTGCAACACACCAATTTGTCAAAATGTTTGTGTAATAAATCTTACGAAAGCTTAAGACACTATAGACAAAAGTCCATGCGAACATGAGGCCATCATCCCACGAATTCGACGAAACGTTATGCGATGGCGTTGATTTATTCCCTATGGCGTCCACCACAGTGACTCTTTTCGAGATGCACTTTGACTTTGGAAATGGGAGTATCACATGGTCCGCAGTGACGCACTCATTCAAACTTCAACCGATGCGATTTTTGGCAACAGGTTCCTGTTGCTCCCTGGGCCAATCACAAACGGTCCTCTATTTGCACCGGTAGAGGTGTCGCGCCGGTTGTCATGACGGTGGTGGTCGCGGCTGCAGGGAGAAAATGCAGTGATGTTACAAGGCGTTGACGGTAAAGTTTGGACTCGAAAATCATTAATTTTGTTGCCCTTTCGATGTCTTGATGTCGTTACATTGGCGCTACCCAGTGTTATTATTCGATGCCCTGGGGGTTCACGGGAATATGTGTCTGAAACGTTCCCGCAAAGATGCCCCCCCCCCCCTTTAAAACGGTCAGAATTTGCCAAACGCATCAAACGCGACGCCAAACGAGCTTCATGGAGAGGCTACATGGATGATGTAAACCGTTACACCCGCTCTGTGCAGTTGGGCAACGAATCATTGGTATTGCAGGTTGGAGCATTTCAGTCGCGGCCCCAATCCTGAAACTTGGGGGAGATAGGACATTGAACACCCAAGAATTGTCCAATAAAATAGACCTGGCGTTTGCATAGAAGCATCGACTTATATCCGTTATAAGTTAAGTCTTATGTCCGTTATAGCTAGGAATGATTGTATGTTCTCGTATTATGTAACACCAAACATAATAAGGTATTTAGCAATGAACATCAAAGAGCACTGCTTACGACAGCGATCTGTCCGTGTCTGAGTGGGCGGTGAGTTGCTGGGCTGTTGCCGAGCGGCGAAGCGGCGTTCTTCAAGAACGCGTGTTTAATGGAATTTTTTTGCGCTGATGATAAATGATATAGTTGAGTGTCTGCGATCCACCAAAATTCGATTCCTGGAAGTGGATGGCTCTCTGCTATCTGGTGTGCAGCGTCAAGGACGACGTCCCTGCCAGGGTGAGAAGCGGGTGACGTCAGATAGCCTCTGCAGCTGAGTGTCGTTAAGTCTCAATGACGCACAATACCGATGTCGCTGATCAGCTGGAAGAACTCTCCGGATATTGAACTCTCTGCCATCACGAAGGTCTTAGCTGCGGCCGGACTGGACGTAATATCCTCTTTTGGCAGGCGTTAGCACACAGGATAATGACTAAATTGGCTTGGCTTTCGCCGCGCACTGGCCTTCGGGGAAGCGGTTGTCTCTCCGATGCGACCATTTTAACTGTTGACTTTTATTCAGTGCTAGGACAGTGCGAATTGGTCACGTCAGCCCAAGTTACCCCTTTATTATAGGCGGTTAGGGTGGGCGATTTGGCCCCTGCCGTTTTTCGCTGGTTTCTCCGAAATGTTTCAGAGCAGGTCGTTGAAACTTCCGTCTTTTTCCAAAGATTTTTGCTCGTGTTATGCCATAGGTAAGGGTGCACGGCAAGGCTCCAGGGTCCGGTTTTGGGAGGGACTTCTAGTAAAATTTATGGATAGCTGATGTGGTGATCGGCACGGAATTATGCGCGCTGCCTTGCTTTTACAGGAGTTACTGCTGTTGAAACGTGAAACTAGTTAATCCAATGAAACAGTTGCACCATGGGTGTCTTCATTGCAATGCACCAAAAAAGCATGGGAGGGGCGATTCCAGGGCTGGAAAAAACGAAGTTTCCGCAATGTGAAGAGCTTTTGGGTCGTCAATGCCTCCATGTAAGGGACACTCTTCGGCGTCAGATGCAAAACTTTGTATTTCGTGCGAACATCTGCAAGATCTATTGTTATACACGGTGGCGAAGGCGTACTCAGGTGGAGCAAAGCGGTACAAAGTGGCGTAGTGGCCAATCTAGACCAGCATTACGGTCCTATGAACAGATAATGAAGGGGAATACATGCACGTGTAAAATGAGAGAAAGGAAAGCAGCAATTTGGGCGGGGAGTGCCTCCCGTGATGAAATTGAGGGAGCTGATATCATTTTAAACATTGGGCGCTGAAATGACACGTCACGTATCATCCTCCACCTCTGTGCGGTAAATATCCTCTTCTACGGCGACGGTGCATCAGAGGCGAGTCCGGGAGTGGTAGAAGAAGAGGGAAGGGTTTTTATTCCTGTATGCGGAGATCGTGGCCGCCAACAACTGTCAGTCAGCGGACAGCGGACGCCTCAGTAGACCACGCTTATATCACTTGTCCCTTCTTTCGTCCCTCTGAAGACTGGAGGTTCTTATGAATACGTTCATTCGTTTTTTATGCGCCGTGGATATTGGGCGGATATCAGCACTGTGCTGACAACTAATATTTACCGACGATGTGGCCATTGATTTGTATTGCCATGCCACCGCCTGTGACGTCTTTGGGGCTATACTTTTGATTCTTGTGACCAGTCGCGAAACAAAGTTGTATTGATGTTGAGCTGTGAGCATGCTGACTTGCTTTTGAAAACGTATTGGTTCTTCAGAGTATCAGGGGGGAATGGCTCAACAACTATGAGCGCCAAATGACCACAGCAGTCGGTGCGTCCAAAGACATCAATGAACGAAAGAAAAAACAACAGCGTTATGCTGCAAACACTGGTTTTCATGGCAGCACTCAACGTTGTTAGCTGCGCTTATGATCACGAGTGAAAAGCTTGAGCACGGTCAAGCAAAAATTACGCTTGGAAACCAGGACACACGAAACCAGAAAATGCTCCGAATGAGTGCAGACGCTACCGCCAAAAGGTGTTAAAAAAGATAGGTAATCCGAGCTCGCACATACGAACGCCCGATAAGTGGTTTTACGTTGAAGGCTGCACGAAACATTCACCTGCCTCGGTCACTCATGACGCGGCGCTCGTGCAATGTCACATTTCTATTTGTGTGCCTGTTGTCACTGGTTTCATGTGTTCATTGTTCTGTGGCGGCCGCAGGTACCCGGACGTGGATGGGCCGACCCAGCCTCCTATGATGACGTTCAAGGCGTTCCTGGCGTCTCAGGACGACATGATCACGGACGACGAGGCCATCAAGAAGTACACAGAGTACAAACTCGACTTCCGCCGACAGCAGCTGAATGAGTTCTTCCTGGCGCACAAGGAGGAGGAATGGTGAGTGTCCACCGTTCGCTGGTGAGCAGGAGCCGCGCCTGCCCCCGTCTCTGGCGGCGGTGACATGCGGACGGGACCGGGAGTTGGCCCGTGTCGGGGTAGGAGCGAGGGCTGTGCCGTTTCCCGTCCCGCTGGGAGGTCGGAGATGCGGCGCGCGGCCTGAGAGGACAAGCGAGAGGACAAAGAGGGAGGACAAGGCCCGGCGCGGCGTGCGGTCGGCAGTGGTGAAAGTGGTGCAGTGCGGCGGCTGATGACTCGGTGACGCGCGGCGGTGACGATGCGGTGCTGCTGGTGACGCTGGTCAGTGGTGAACAGGGCGGTGCAGTGCAGTGACGGCGAGTGGCGACAAGTGAAGTGACGAAGGTGGGTGGCCGCCCTCTCCTCCCGCTTCAGCGCCCTCCCTTCCCCTCCGCCTTCCACCGTACTGGTGCCCCCCGTCACGTTAAATATCACATTACGGGGCCTTTTCACGTCTTTCTGGATGTTTTTCTTCTTCTTCTTTTTTGAAGTTCTCACCAGACATGCGCGTATTTGCCCGATCGGGCTGAACATCAGTGGCGGTGGGTGTTGGCTGAGGCCTCTGCCGTGTGGGCGCAGACCGCCGGGTCCTCTCCTGGCGGTGGCCGGTGCTGAGGGCGGCGGCAGCGGTGCCAGTGTTCCCGCGCGGCGCTGGCCAGCCCCGGCCGGTCCGACCGACCTCGGCGGTGCCGCTGACGGCCGAGTCCGACGGGCCGAGTGTGCCCCGCGGCCGGCGCCGCGGACCGGCCGGGGCTGCCGCCGCCTGACTAACTCCCGTCTGCCTTCACAGAGCAGCGCTTGCGTCTCGGCCAGCAACAGGCCAGAAGACGGGCCGCGTCGGCCAGCCCGCCACGCTGTGACTGTGACCGATGCGCCCCGACCGCGCGAGATAGCTAGGGCACTGCGCGCAATGCAGTTAGATGCGGCGACGAGTCGTAGGCTAGTTAGGGGGTCCACCGTGGCCCGCGGCGCGCGCTCGCGTGCTCGTCTGCCGGCGGCGGCTGTGCACGGACCAGGTGAGGAGAGGTGGCGGTGCGGGTCGCAACCGTTTTGTGCTGGCTCATGGGTCGGTGTTGCACCGCCTTTGGCTCGGGACGTTTGTGTGTGCGTGTACCACTCGGGTGTGCGTGCGTGTCGGGCCGCGATTCATGATTCGCAGGGAAGCATCACTGACTGGCATCCAGCTTTGCCTTTGCCAACTCATTTATCGGCTTTGTGTTAGCTGGGTTGTCATCGTGTTCCTGCCCTGCAAGCGTGGTAAAAGCGGCTGGAAGGCAATGTTTTGTGGGCCATTAAAAATAACATAGGCATTGCCGTCCGTGTTCAGGATGGATCAATGCGCTGAAAATACAGTTTTTTAGAATGAACCTCTAAATTTAAATTGTGTAATGTAACACCCGGACAAAGAAAGGTTTGTTTTTGTAGATATCTTATGTCACTAGATGGGCAACACCCATGTTGAATTACAAGCAGATGTGTGTAATCGAAGGAGGGACACCAGCTGTAAAATAACATTTTGCCTCGCAGGCAAAATGGACAAATTAAGGCACACCGAGCGAATTATGGGCAACCCAGGCAGATAGCTAGGCAAATTTATTCGCAGTTTTACCCCGACTAATTTTATTTTGCGTCTAAGTCACAGAATCGTCAATCTTTGCGTCCAAATCTTTATCACATTCCTGTACGGTGACTGTAAGGGTGGCTTAGGTGTCATCATTCCAATCATTTTAGTATTTCTTTGGTTAGAATCCCTTTACAACTTGCAAGAAACCGAATGATTTGCATGCGAAATCAAGCACGCGTCGCGTGGCGCAAATCCGTGCATCACCCGAAATCTCATCCTTTTAGCCACGTTTTCGCTTCCGATCTAATGATAGATATTTATGATTTTTTCATGCAATGCCATTGATATTTTGCTGAGGTGTGTGCATCTGGCTAATAATGAGTGTATTACACGAAACGAAACTCTTGATAGGCACTTTTCTTCAGTCCACGGCTTTGGTTCGCCCAAATTCTAGGCCAATACAAGGCCTGGCAGTCAGCCGAGTGGACTGGTTGGATGCTGGCTGCGCCATTGATGTTCACGTCGGGCTATGTGGGGCAAAGCGTACTTTGCGGATCATTAAATTCAAGGAGCATTCATCGTGGTTCATGTCAAGGTATGTAAGCTCTGTTCGTGCTGTACGCCTATGAAGATGGACGCTGCCAAGACAGTGGAGATTGCTTTGTCGCCTCTGCGTCAGGCATGTCACCGGCTGTTTTTTTTTAAACTTTGCTATGTTTCGATAGGGAGAAATGGGGTGTAGTACATCCTCTTAAAGGCATGATCTAATTTTAGCCAGCCAACCGCAATTTTATCAAAACATACGTCTGCAGAGATGTTTCTAAAACTGCAAAAAATTGCCGAAAATCGCTGATAAAATTGCGCCGTTAGAAAATGAAAGCTGATATCTTTACGGAAACCTGTATAATCTCGTTCCGTAATCCTTCGTGAAAACGGCACATGTCTCACTTCACATAATTGTCTTGATGGATAGTGCGACCTGAAATCAGTTCATACGTACTGTTAGCACGTGACGCCATCATGACGCGTGTACGTCTTATGAAGTAGTTTGTCAGTCTCCTTTTCCAAATCTGGTCTGGATTTTCAAAATTGGCATTCCTCTAGGGACTATGAGCTAACTAAATTTGTGTTGCATATTTTGGCGCCTCGCACGGGATCAGGTATGGTTTTCTGTGCAGCGAGCAAGCCATCTTCAGTTTTTACTCGAGCACCCTGATATATATATATATATATATATATATATATATATATAATATATATGTATTATATATATACATATATATATATATATGTATGGTATATATGTATTATATATGTGTACATATATGCACGTACATATCACACGTTACCTTTTTATTTCATAAAATGGAACCAAACGCACGTCGCGCCCATTTCATGGAGCGCCAGCGACCGCATTGGCATATTAGCACCCATGGGTATCAGCCCAACTGGGATTCGAATCCCCCCACCCCCCACGTGGGGTCCGACACGCTCACCACTCGGCCATTGAAACAAAACTAATGACGTCACCGCTCTTGACGTGCGTTTGACATGCGCGTCAAAACAGTCCGTGTCAAGCGAGGCATTGCAATGAAAAACCGTCACAAACCAAGAAAACTGTTAAGTACGTGTTTTGTGCATCCTAGGCGGTCTCATCGAACAGACTTGGGCCCAAAAAATACTTTAACACGCCCTGTTACCTGTCGTAAATGACAGTTGTGGTGTCTAAAGCTTACAATACACAGTGCAATGCAATTTGTATCAGAAAAAAGACACCCTTTGTGCAAAAATCATTCGTGCATGCCAGCTTGCGTGGGTTTGGACTGCGTTCGGAGCGTGCATGCGATTGTGAGCTTCCGTGGGGTATTTCCGCAGAACATTCAAAACCACTCTCATTAAACGGAATTCAACACGAACACAACATTTGCATCATCAGCAAATCAATGAATGGTGTCAAGCATTGGCGGTGGATCAAAAGTTAGTTACTACTGACTGAATGCCGTGCTTGAAGTAATCACAATATATGAATACCCGGGAGATCAGTCGCGTCACTGCCAAATGGAATGAAACAAACACTAGGAACACGTATTCTCTAGTCGCGGCCGAATGCAACCTTTTTACTTTTCAATTTGTACACAATTCTTCGGGCGAATGCTCCACTGATATTTCATTAGATGTCTTGGAATCATCATGTTTTTTTTTTGGCAGGCGCAAACGATAAATGCGTGGAAACATTTATCAAAGTGACAAACAAACAAAGTGACAAACAAAGCAGTGACATCAAATATTTACAAATAAGCCAGAGGGTCCTTTGTACAGCATGTGCCACTTTAATAGCAGCGAATATAGTCGCAGATTTTTGAGCAGAGGTTTTATTTTTACAGCGTTCTAGTCGAATGGCGACTGTCCGACGCTTCCCCGCCGACGTGACCGCGCCCGGCTGCAGTCGAGGTCGCACAAATTATCGAAATGCATTCAGCTGCTTGTTTTTTTTCTCGCGAATGCGTTCAAGAAATGTTGCTTTATTGATGTGCCTTTTTGCTGTAGTGTTGACTAGGTGGTATGCTAAAAGTCATGAACGATTTGCCGCGAGGCCTTTTCGCCAGCGTGTCAAGTTGACGAAATGTGAATAAGTTAAACTGCATACTTACCAAATACCAAGTTGCTGAAATGTTTTTTAGTGAAATGCTAGTTATTCGAAGTGGTCGTCAGTTGAATTCTCATTAGCCGACAAACTCATCGGTCAAAGATGATTATGATTAGCTGAACGTTCTTCAGTCTTGTGCTTCGCGCATCGAAAGGTAAATGGGCTGTAAACAAAGGCCCTGCAGTCTTCGCCTTGTGGGTGCTTTTAAGAGGAACTCTTCGAGGGTAGGCCTGAGCAGGCCCTTTACTGTTTCGAAAACTAGCAAGCTAGAGTCGCAGCAGAAATGGCTCTGGAAAGCACTTGTCAAACTTTGTCATAGGGTGTGACCGAGCAACGGCGAAGGTGACTGGAATGGCTAAATTGGGTTCACACTACTGTGACCGCAAGAGCATTTATCGGATAGCTCTGGTGAACATCGACAGATGTTACCTGTAACGTGTCATATGAGGCCAGAGAGGTGGAGGCTATTCTTCCGTGGATACATGCGGCTTTATAAAAAAAACTGAACAAGTCAAACAAAATCAAATGGCTGCATGTCCTTAGGAATATTGGTTACGCCTCACCAGCAATGCTCCCAGTGTGTAATGTAATTCGCGGACGTTGTACGGCCGTTACCGTATCAGGTAGTTTGCGTTCGTCGATTCACATTTCTTCAAAATGAATTCAGCCAAATGACCAATTTGGAGAGTTCGCGTTCGTCAAATTGCCTCTTGTCAAACTTACATTTCGACTGAGGGCATTTGTTTGATTAACCATTCCGTGATTTCCATTCGTTTGATCGCCATTCGCCTAAATCCCGTTTTGGTGTAATGACATTTGGGTACTTCATTACATTTGACAGTAAGGTTTCGGATTACCATTTGCGACGATTTGTTATGTAAAAATATAGCGATATGCTTTCCACCTTCTAACGTTCGCCTTTTCAGATAGCTGGAAAAGCTTGGGGGTTTTCACAGTCAGTGCAATAGTATTTATTCAAGCGCCATGCAGCAGTGGGTGGGCTGGTGGCCGCCACCTAGAGCGCGGCGCACGCTGTCGCTACTCGCCTGCCGGCCGGCCACCGTGCGCTAATGCCGCTGTTCTTTGACGGACAGGTTTAAGGCCAAGTACCACCCAGAGGAGTGCGTCAAGCGGCAGGACGAGCAAGTGAGCAACCTGAAGGTGAGTGCTCCCTTACCACCAAGTACTAATGCACTGCACCGGTAATGATTTACACTTTGCCGTGCATTGCTAACGTAACACGCTGGTTAAAGAATCGTGATCGTTCTTTCAGTTGTCTGAGTTTGCGGAATACTGCGCTCATTTTCAGCAATTAGATTATCTCGCAGCGCAGCTTTGTACAAATGTAATGGGCATGTAGGGCATGCCGTTCCTTGGAACAGCGGTATTTAGTCGTCTGTTATGTTGATGTGGTGTTCACCAATATAATGTGGAGGCATATCTGTCTGCCGGAGCACTGTCATACACATTGTTATGTGCATGTTTAAAAGTAGAGGGATGTTTTTGTTTAAAAAAGCCCCCCACCCGCGGCGCGGGGGCGCCTCTGCCGTCGGCGGGGTCGCCGACCGAGGCGCGTGGAGGTCCCGACTGACGCCGCGCTCCGCCGGCGGTCCTCAGCGGCGCGTGGACGTGTTCACCGAGCTTCTCAGCACGGCCGGCCAGGTGCGGCTGGACGGCGACCAGGCGGACGCGCTGCTCCGCTTCCTCGACTCGGTCGTCATCAAGCTGGAGGGTGGCTCCGACTTTGACCTCACCGTGCTCGACCTTCCCGACGACGAGCCGGCTGAGCGGCGCGACGCCAAGCCGTTCGTCCTCGCTGACCAGTGAGTGGTGTCAGATCTGACCTCGCCTCCGCCGTCCGGGCTCGGTGCACTCCTCGCGGGCAAATAGCGTGGGCGGCGCGCGCGCCGGCGGCTGTCCCGGACGGCCGGATGTGGGCACAGCTCGGAGACCGCCGCGTTGGCGGGCAGTAGGTGTAAGTATTTGTCAGAACGGCGGCCTGTCCAGCCGTTACCCACTGTCTGAGCGCGCGGATAGGTTATTTCAGACATGTGGCGGACGCTGAATCCTCCTCGTCATTAAAACGTTTCGGAAAACATCCAACAAGAAATTGTCTACAATGTCACAGATGTAGTTTTGGGGGCTCCGTCTCAAGGCGTTTTGGGGAACATCGATTCTTGTGTTCCTGCACATTTGGGCAGAAAAGCGTATATACAGTGTAAGATTACAACGCACATATATAGATTCTGACGCAATAACGGAAGTGCACGTTATCAAGCTGTAAGCTGGCACGAATGGCTTCGATTTCTTCCTTGAGTTGAGGAGGGGGGGGGGGGGGGGGAGACAGATGGATAGTACCCATTGCTGGCATTACTATATTGCTGCAAGCATTGCTGGCAACCCACCTTAGAATATGTGCACAAGTAAAACTCGGTATAGGAGCAGGACGCATTGAGCATGGGAGCAGCCAGCCTGGTGTAGATACGGGAACAATGAGACCGGGTGAATAGTCCCAATCCTTTCAATCACTGAAAATGGTTTCAGTATGTACTTGATCTTGATGAACTTATGAACTTAATCGTATGTTTCACGGTTCCATACCCCTCAAACTACCTGCTGCACCAGCCAAGCTGAGCATCTCTTTTCCAATAACTCTAATTTTCTAAGGCGCGCGTGTACATGGCACAACTGTCGTGACTCAGACCTCTCCTGATGATCGGGCGTCGTTGTGACATCCAAGGCACGTGTGACACGACATGGCGCTATAGTATAATTTAGCTTCATACGCATCATGGTGTACGTGGTTTTATGGGCGCATTTTTACAGAACTTGTTAGCTGATCGAGTTTTTTGAGCTAACGGGGACAGTTTCATATCCGAAAGATACCGTCAAGTTCACGGTCCGTTGGTCAGGCTCTGCTTATGGATGGTTTGACACGGTTGGGCTCACGATTACACGATTTTGACACGTCTGGACACGACTACATCCAGTGTTCCGTCACTGGAGTGGCAGTTTCAGTTGGCCGTGGCCCAACCTGAAAGATGGAGCATAGCTACTGGGTTTGAGTTCTTCGGATCAAGGACCGTTGTGATGCATTTTTGTCGTCGTAGACATTGTCTAGATGTCCCTTCGAGTGCATCGCTAGGAACGGTTGCAATTCTTGTGCTATCCTCACCATCGGCTCACCTATAGAACTTAGCGGAAAGTGCTGCGTGGTAAGTGTTTCAAGACATTACACATTTTAAAACGTGCTGGCACGTGCGTCTTATGGAGCAGATAGTAACACGCTACTGCTGTATCGTTCTCTCGTTCGTTCCACACTTGACTATGCCCGTTTTTTATGACAATGCTGGCGAACGTTACACACACACCTTAAACGCTCTCCACAATGTTGCACTTCGCATTGGCACGGGTGCTTTTCGGATGTTGCTGACTTTGAGCCCTAATGCAGAAGCCCACGAGCCACCGCTTTCTGCGGGACTTGAGCTGTTAGGCATGTGCTTTGCATACAAGTTACGCCAATGCTATGTGCATCCCGCATATGATGCGGTGTTCTCAAGACGGCGGGTGGTATTGTTCTGAGGCGAGTCTGTGTAGCGTGCCGGCCGCTTTTGTGTTGGGATTGGGAGTCTGTTCTATGCAAGCGGTATGCGACTGCGTAGTATGATGTTAGTGCAACATTTGCCAGCCGCCGTGGCATCTAGCCCCGCCAATAAGTGACACGCCGCTGTCTGAACTGAAGAAAGGTCATGTCCGCCCAGACGTGTTTCGGTCGAGAACTTCAGAGCAGTTGGCATGTTATGACAGGTATACGTTTACATACACGGGTGAATCGACTGACGGTGTCGGGTGGGCGCTCGTGAGTGACTGGCATTCGGTCCTTCACGTTGCCCGCACGTCCGTCTGTTTTTATGGTCCAGTTAATTGTTTTCTCGAAAGCGCTGTTTTATTGGAACACGGGATGAGGATTAACTCCTCATTATGTAGGCTCATTGAGCAGGGTCTCAACTCTGAAACGTTTTAACCCCGCTTGTCCCGTTAAACAAAATTTGGGTTTGCCTGACTGTGCGTGACAGGGTGGTGAAAAGGGTCGTGCTTTTAAGGACCTCGAAGTCACGCAGGCATGCCCGGGAAATGAGCTCGCGGATGCTGCTAAACGGGGACGGGGGCACAGACTCCGGGCACCCGTGCCACTCCTCTCCCTGTTAAATATGTTCACGCACACTTCGAAACTTTCGCACGGTGGAAGTGGCAGCACAAGTGAAACGCATGATTTAACATCAAGCCCTGGGCGATGCAACCGCATGTAGGCTAGTGGCCCTCGCGCTTTCGCAAATCAAGGCGCGCAAAAATTCCACAGTGCGGTCTCCGCACGATCACGCATGGAGCGCACAGTTACCCGCTGTCTGGCGGAGCCAGGCCAAACTGCTCACGCTATGGTGAACCTCTTAACGTACTTCACGTCATTCAGTCAAGCGATGAGATGTCACTTTCGTGATGAGCTTTGGCATTATCTCGGACGACGCGATTCATAGGGCGGGTAACAGAGGGTTGCCGTCATGAGTTTAGCGATGATTGGTGCGTGATTGAGGTAGGCAAGCTTTTGGAATTCCTTAAGGCGATAGGATTCTCTGCAATATGCACTCGACGCTAATTACGCAACACGTCAGTATGGGCGCAAAGTGCCTTATACGCGTCCTTATCGCACGATGTAATAGCTCAACCAGATGCCCCGTGATTTTTCCACATGCGCTGGATGGAATTCCGTCTAGATTTAGATTGTATAGTTTAGGTGCTGGATATAGTTGTCCTCTGTCGCATGTTATTTTCGGTACTCGACTTTATTGAAAAGTGGACGTAAAAGTGTAGCTTGAAATATTCTGTTTGTGGAAAAATGGCAGAGAATGATTCTGATGAATTTGGTTTTGAGATGATTCAGCTTCTTTTTGCCAGTGACTTAACGCATAATTTTGCAGTGCTTAAACTATTTGCGTCTAATTCTCGAATTTCAGGAGTTACAGGTAAGGGACCTGTACTGACGGCTGACATTTCAGCATATTGTCTCGCACTCATTTGCATGCATATTACGTAGGTGTGTACGAAAAAATGATGGACTGAACTTGTATCTGCTCGTCCGACACCTGACGAGGGCTTCATATGTTGCATACGTCACACACGTTGATACGACTCTTCCAGAACCTACGTGGCTGGCATTGCGCCTGTTGATATGAATGATAGTAAAATGTAGGCGTGAAATAGCCGGCAACGGCTACAAAGTGACAGAGACGATGTTTGAAAAGTACATAGTCAGATTAGAGAACCGGAGACGGCGTCTCGGTTGTTTGGGGAAAGGCGCTTGCTTTAATCGCGTCAGCCACGCAGAAAGCACGTCTAGGATAGGATAACACATTCCTCTTTCAACGTCCAGTAAGCCGTTAGGTAGGATGCATGTGTCAAGCGCAGAAGGCAAGGAATGATGAATGGTTGTGTTCCTTTGGTGTGGCGTCTGGTTTCCCCTGTTGTCCCAGCTCACGTGTTTATTTGCGCGACCAAAGCCGCGCCACCTCGGGTGAGCTTCTTAAGCAGCCCCCATGTGTCGTTTCCCTTTGATGTTTTTCCGTTTGATACCGCATATCCGTCTCTCGCGCTATCTGGAAAGAGGTGTCTCTTATGAGGTTGAGTCTAACCCGGGTGGCCAAATGGCCTCCGTTATGGAATCCAGGCGCGTCTTTCGAGAACAATAACTCACATGAAAGCAGATAGGGCGGGTTTGCAGCATGCTGATGTCTGGCAGTGTGGGAGCTTTGATCCGGCGTATCAGCAACGCAGCGAGATTGAGTGAGGCGCGCTGTGGCAGCGGGTCCAAAGCATATACTCAGCCCCGTAGAGCCAATGCCCGGAGGACGGCGCACAAACGGCCGGAGATGGCGTCGGAATTTGGACAGTCGGACCAACCAAAAGTGCATACCGCGTTACCGTCGGATGCGTCGGATACCATCGAGTTGATGATGTGTGCTGTTGGACTAGTGAAGCATCGGTCGTCTTAGGCTCAGAAAGTGCCGATCCCCTCCCCCCTCCCGCCGCAGTCAGGCTGAGCCCGTCCGTCGTCAGGTTATCAGGTTTTCACCACATCCACCTTAGGGGCGCAGGTCTGCCCAGCCCTCCGTCAGACCGCCACAAGCCATTTTTGGAACGCGCATCATCTGCGTGTCTTATCTTCGCACACATCCGCCGGGGCGTCGCATCTTCCCAGCTCTTCGCCGGGTGCCAGGTGGACGCGCGGCGCTCCGTCCGGGCGCCGGGTCGTTAGAGCCGGTCATCAGCGCCCGAGCGGCACACTTCGGCGGCCGGGCCGGTTTGCGCCCATCAGGCGGCGGCGCTCCCGACCGCCGCCGCCTGATCGCCGCGCGCCGCTCCCGGTGGCCGGCCGTCGTCCGCGCCGGCCCATATTGGATCGGCGCCCATTGGCTTTTATTATGGTCCGTGGCGGCACGTACGCTGTCGGCCCGCCGGCCACGTCCGCCTCGGCGGCGAGCGGAACGGCCGCCGTCGGGGTACGACGCCACACGGCTCCTGCCACGCGCAGGCCGGGTCTCCACTGCACCTGACAGTGGTACAGTGAGGGCCCATTTTACCCGGCAGAGCCGGTTGGTGTCCGATTGTACCTGTCAGGGGCTGGGGGTGGGGTCCCACTGTACCTGTCAGGGGTAGAGTGATGTCACACTGCCTGACAGGAGCACGAAGGTCCCGCTGTACTTGGACAGTAGGGTCAGGGTGGCGCGCCGTGGCACCTGCCGGGGTCAGGGAGGTGACTGCTGCGCTTGGTGCGGTCGGGCTGGTGTCTCGCCGTGCCTGCCGGGGTCAGGGAGGCGTCCCGTCGCACCTGCCGGGGTCAGGGAGTTGACCGCTGCGCTTGGTGCGGTTGGGCTGGTGTCTCGCCGTGCCTAGCGGCTTTGTGTGGCGATATTCAATAACACCAGAGCCCAATAGGTTCCGTAAACTGCATTGTGTTGGTTAACGATTTGAAAACATATTGGCCATTCAATACTCGTTAGAGACGCTCCCGTGCCGGGGCGCCATCAAGGAACTGTAACCGGGCGCCGATAGGTCCGCTGAATGCTCCTTTGAAGACCGTTTCGCGGTCTTCGAGCAGGCGCACGTGGTTGGGACAAGTCGTCGTGTCACTGTTTTGTCATTACGCTGAGACGGCTGGAGTTTGCCGATTGTTGTTAAACTTGGCGCCACGTGTCCTTGGGTTACGGCATTCTTAGCTGGAAGATGGCATCCTTTGAGAAGCAATGTTGGCGTGGCACCGTCCCAGCATTTGGGCTTCGAATTATAAGAAAAAGGGGACGCTTATTCCCAAAACTTGCTGTCTCCCCTTCCTAATTGCAAGTATAATGTGTGTCAAGCGTACACTTCCCGTGATGATGCACTTAGCTGATTTCGTCGGTTTTTACGTTTGATGCCTTATTTCCGCACCGAGGGCATGTAACGACACGGGACCGGCATGCCGCGATGAGGAATTAAACGGCCAGTCGTGTGTTTCCACCTTTGCGTGCGCACGGCTTATGCGTCACACCCACGCGCTCCGGAGAGATTGAATCTCGTACTTTTCACAAACTTAAAAGCTTCGGCACCCGGGGCAATGAGCGACTGGTGAGTGGCCTGCAACCGACAGACATTCGACCAAACTACCACGTGGCGTGAATTTTAATGTCGCACGTGCTGCGTGTCACACGTACGAGAGCCAGCAAGGTGGATTTGGCCGTTACCGACAGTTTTCTTATTTTACAAACCACATCTCGGCACCCGGAAGAGCTAGGGTTGTGAATCCAACTGCAAAACATAGGCAATACGATTTCTTCTTTAAGCGCAGCGGAGTAAGCCTGCACATGCCTGTCTTGACTTAGAAGCGCCAGCGGAAACATCGTGCAATGGGTCTTGAAGTATCGACCCGATGTGTCGTAAATGTTGTACCCATACCCGTACTTATACCCGTGTTTTCCCCAAAAATGTAACCAACCCAATCCGTCACCCATTCTATATGGGTAACCATTGGTTTACCGGAACCATGGAGTCCTTTACTGGCGGTGGATGATGCAGCCTGCGCAGCCCGTGGGTCCTGCCGGGCGTAGTGTGCCACCACGTTTACGGTGGGGGCTGCGGCGGAGGACAAGAAAACACACCGCTCGGTAGCTATGTATTGAGTGTGTTTTAGAACTAAAGCTGCGAGTGCCTTCTGCTCCGTTTCGCCCTAAGACAGCAGGTTTACCGTTCCGAGTCATTGCCGGAGCGGGGGTGGGGTGGGGAGATCCGTGCGTGGGCCCGGGCATCCTCTCAGGGCTGACGCTGTGACGCGGCCGTGCCGCCGGCGGGGCGGCGCGCTCCGCCGTCCTACTCTTACATCAGCCGCCTTTCAGGAACAAGAGGAAGAAGGAGGACGAGGAGAAGAAGTCCGAGGACCTGTCCAAGCTGCCCATGACTGAGGAGCAGCGCGAGCTCCAAGAGAAAGCCAAGGAGTTCCTGAAGAAGAAGGGAGGTGAGTGGTCAGGTCCGACTTGGCACGAGACATCTGGTGCAATCTCCCACCCAGTGCGGCACGGCTGACTCGGTCATGTCTTGGATTTCACTGAAAATTGGTACCTGGGGCTATCTCATGCTTAAAATCCATCTGACACGATATCAGGTCCTTGTGGCAGGGATATCAGGTCCCTCTGACACGATATCAGGTCCCTCCCATTTATGGGTCACGAGATATGCGCCAAGGCGTTCTCTTTCAGGACGACCTCAGTACTGGGGTTGGCATTTGTATGTTCCTAGCGACGCAGCACCCGTGATCATCGGTGGATATCCTCATTGTACATATTTTCGAGATGGCAAAAATTAGTGCAATGAAATGGAAAAAAGAAAAGTTCACTTGGATCAATTTGGAATCAGCTACTCTCGTGACATAGGTCAGAGGTCATTTTTTAACTTTTATGTATGTCCGTTCTTAGCTTTTTAGTCTGGTGGTAACCTTTCCTATGTTGTCTTTCCGGGAGGTGTGTATATATATATATATATATATATATATATATATATATATATATATATATATAATCAATGGACCTGGAACGAATTGATCTTATGATCAACTTGATCTTTGGGGCAACGCCCCTCTGTCTCCAGTTCCGCGCGATCCTCGTCGTTTCCGTCGTCGCATACCAAGTGTCCAGTGCCAGACCCTCGCGGGGCGCGCCCGCACCGGTTTCAGCGGGCCTCAGGGCTAGCTTGGTACAGGCAGTCGACGGTGGATCGGTTAAATGGCGCGCCGCACGAGCGTGATTCTTGCGTGGAGCGATCAGGGCGGTTGACTACCATATCCGTCCGGCCTGGACAACGGGGTGCAAAGTGTGATTCAGGAGGGTTATCTCGACATTGGGTTTGTTCAGATGGCTGTGGCACCACGAACTTGCGCCAGGTATTATCGATATTCCGTGGTATAGCCAACGTGTGTCCTTAGAACGCTGCACATTTGGGGAGGTTGCTAAACATCTCGACAATTTGGAGTGACGTTGGCGATATCATAGAAGAGCCTACTCGTTATCATAACATCGCTAAGAAACAGGAGAATGTTTGAGGTAACAAATATCTCCATCTCGCTTGGCGAAACTGTGGTTTCCAGCGATTTTGCCGAAAATTAGTCTTATATTCTGCAGGATGCCACGCATTAGTGGCACTCGGCAAAATTCCAGCGCACGGTTTGCCCATTCATAGCCCATTAGCATATTGCCTATTATATAATGTTATATATATATGTATATATATATATATATATATATATATATATGTGTGTGTATATATTGTCAATATCATATATATTTATAGCCTGTTATAGCCTATTGCCTGGGTCAAAATGAAAAGGCGCTACACCTATTTTTTATGCAACCTAATTGTACCAATCACAACACAGTTATTGGGAACGTGTTTATAACACATTTGGTCAGACATTAGTATTAGGATGAAGGACATTAGTGCAAGGAAAGACATGATATTAGGATGCTTCACTCTTGTGTGAAAGTTAAGATTTATTTGATAGCTTAGCGGGGCAGTTTAAGGAAATGAACACTGTTAGCACGCGTTTAGTTGGCCGCTTGAATGCGATGCGCTCGGGTGGGGTCAATTTGACCCCAGAGATCTGAAAACTAAGACGATTTGGGCATGGAATTCACAGGATAGGTGGGACTCTACTTGAACTCGTTTGTGTCAAATTCTGATATCCGTTTGTCATGACTCGGCTCAAATAAGGTCAAACTCCAGATCGGTGTCCGACTGCTCGCAGACTACGTCACGCAATCTTTAATACGCGCTCGGGTTGGTGGCAGTCAATTTGCGAACTCCCCCCCCCCCCTTCCCCGAAGGACATCCAAAATAATTTCTGACCTGCGGAGACCAACTGCCAAAGTCGGAGACACTGCTGAAGGGGCGAAATTATCCATTTTCACAAATGTGCGTTGAGCATCCGAAGGCCTGGGTAAAACGTAGCGTGTTTTGTGTGGGCACTTTGTCGTTTATCATTCTATGTAAAGGTAGTATTCTACCCCCCCCCCCCCCGCCCTCCCAGCTCGTTGGGTTAATTCATCTGCATTATAATTATCCATCGTTGCCAGTATTCAATGAGTTTTACAATCTGATAATGCATTGCGTGATTGTCTGTCGTGTATTTTCTTCGCGCTTTGGTGCCAAACGCATATCGACGTTACTTCAAGACCTACCCTATATATATATATATATATATATATATATATATATATATATATATATCCTGCGTTACTGAGCCCTACCCTACCCTTTATAATAGCCTCGGGGTATATGAGTCGTGACCCGTAGGCCAGGCAGAGCTGCTGCTGTGGTAGATGGATGAAACGCACCATATAACCCACAGTAGCAAACTATACAGAAATCCGAACAGCGAATGCAGTCTAACCGCATGACAGTTGGTAGACAAGTGTATCATTTCGACGGCTTCCGAATAAAAGAAAGAGACACGACCATGTAAAAATAAAAAAAGAGACACGGCCATGTCTTGAGCCATGGTGAACGATACCGGTACCCCAGATTTTATTCAGGTTTGGAAAGAGCATGCAAAATACACTGAAATGGCTACGAATGGACGTTATGCTAAGCTAAAGGGATTACCATTCACCTTGGTCACCTGTTTGCTAAATTGACCGAGGTGTCTTTTTCGATTGTACTGCACTTACCACTGCAATTTTGAAAATGTTAACGCGGATAAAACATGTGCATTGATATTGTGCAAGGGCGCTAAGAACACACCAATGTCGACTCCAGTTATGGAAACGCCTCGGGGCATATCTCACGACCCAGTGGTATTAGCAATTGAGGTTTTCGGGCGCTTCGCCTGTGCGGTCATACAGCGCCTGTAACGTTATGCGTCACTGACATTTATTTTTGGTGTCAGGCGGATTCTACGCATCAGCTAACGGTCGGTTTCAGCTTTCGGTAAAATCTGAGAGATAACCGTGTTAAATCGTCCTGGTGTTGCGGTGGGTAGACCACACCACCTGGCGCTTGCGCCGCACGGAAACCCGACAGTGCGAACACCACCCTGTTTGAAGTGGTCCACAGGTGATCAAAATTGGCTGTCTGTGATGTTCTCCGCCCCTGCTGGAAATTGCGATCACATTTCTTCGGAAGTGCGTTTGGAAGACACTTCCTCAACAGGCCATCGCGAGGGTGGCATGAGCTCTAACGGCGGCCAGCTGGGTGACGCAGTTTGGGTAGCCCCCAGACCAGTGCAGTATGAATATATTTGATCCAGTGGTTGTCTCCGGTAGGGTATTCCTTGAGCGGCTCATACCCAGGCGATATTAGCAATACGGAGGGGGGATCTGGCTGTCGCGGGACGGACGCTCTGCCATCTGGTGCTGGTGCAGTGGGTTCGCGAGCGTGGCGGGCCTTTAAATAGCCGCTGCGCTCCGGCGTCCCAGCTGGGCAGTCCGGCCCCGCGCCGGACCAGCGCAGCAGGCCTTTGGCCAACGAGCCGATGCATCAGGACAGGACCGCAATTTGCTTGTGTGCTATAGGGGACGTTTGACAGCAGGAAAATGGTCGAGCCTGCCCAGCAAGGTCGCGGAAAAGTGAGAACGTCCACCCCGTACAGTACGTGAATGTGGAAACAGTGGTGGCTGTCAGCGTCTATCCCGGAAACCCCTCGCGGTTGGACACCATACATACATACATACTTGCGTGCGTGCATGCACACATACATGCATACATTATATATACATTATTACTACTGATGAAGGATACCATCTACTGATGATTACTACTGATGAAGGATACCATCAGTAAGTAATCAGCTGATATTGACATTAGCATGGGCCGGTGTGCGCAAGCGGGCGCGCGCGCGCGCGCTCGAGGGGAGCCGCGGGTCCGCCGACCGTCGCGCGCGAGGGAGAGCCGCGGATCCGCCGACCGTCGCGAGGTTTTTTAGGACCGGTACCCCATTTCAGCTGCGAGGGCGATCAAAGGCTCTGGCTCTCAGGGCTCCCAAATGGATGAGACCAGCTCCGTTGCCTCGCGGGATTTATCGTTCGCAGCCCGTTGAGCGACGCCAGTGTACGACCCGTGCGATGTTAGAAATCGGCTGGAAAACAGTCCATGTCACCCTCGTTAAGCCGTTAGACCGGCCCCGAATGTTATTTGCTGTGGCTCAAGGCGATAGATTTGATCATGAAAACTATACCGGCTCAGAGCTTCGATCACAGACTGATATCCGCGCAAAATATGGCCTTTCTAACTGTAGTTTGGTCAGTCACAGACAACGCACTCACATCTATAAGTCTTCCGAAATTTTCACGTATCACTGCACCTCTTGCTTTAATGCATTCAGTTATGCGGGCGTATGCCTTTCAGCTCTTTTCGGACGTCGCTCGGCGCCAGAAAGGTGGGACCACCATACGACGATAAGGATGTCATATCGCGGATGGTTTTAAGAAACTGCCTGAACTGGACATTACGCTTTGTTACGGAAAAATGACGTCGGAACCCATCCAGCCAAACTTGATTGTTCTCTTCCAATTCCCCGCCTCATCAGGCATGTGAGCAGTGTCGCAATATATGCGGTGCTGCGCAGACTGAGACCGGAATTTCAATCCACGCACTGGCCGCGCGGCGCGTCGTTTCACGTAGGCCTCGCGTTTCGCTGACATTCTCACTGAGAGCGTGACTGGGATCTGGAAGTGACGGCTGCCCCCGTGTGCTGCTTTGGCCCACCGGCGTGGTCGCGCAGCCAAGCTGATGATCAGGCGGTGTGATCTCGCACTCCTGCTGATGGCTAGGCAACGTGGTCCCGCATTCGCGCTGATGGCCAGGCGGCGGCGTGGTCCAGCATTCGCGCTGAGGGCCAGGCGGCGTGGTCCCGCATTCGCGCTGATGGCGAGGCGGTGTGGTCCCGCGGTCGTGCTGATGGCCAGGCGGTGTGGTCCCGCGGTCGCGCTGATGGCCAGGCGGTGTGGTCTCGCATTCCTGCTGATGGCTAGGCAACGTGGTCCCGCATTCGCACTGATGGCCAGGCAGCGTAGTCCCACAGTGGCGCTGATGGCCAGGCGACGTGGCGAGGTATAGGGCACCAAGCGTGCTAGCAGCGGGTACATCATACCGATCCGCCTATTGCTGTCCAAGTTACAATTCTCCAAGCGTGGCGTTAGCATATGGCGGAGAAGTCGGCACGGCTGCTCATAATCTTTGAAATGTGTTAAACGACAGGTGGCTTCTCCAGCGACTCGGAGGATGACGCCAGGCAGTCGCTATTTTGCCGCTATTATACAATTATGTATAAACCAGTCCGGTTGATTGGGCAAATTCGTTAACAGTCCGATGGCCAATGTTTGAATGACGCTGGATTTATTTCTCTTAAGCTGTTAAGTCTTACTTAATGTTAAAGGCGGTCTCGCTTCGAAATGCATGCTTCAATTCAGGTCCTCATGTGGATTGGTCAAGTGGCTGATTATTTTCTCGTTGGCGAGTTACAAAGCAATGATCATTTGCGTTCTTCTGTGCTGACCTTTTCTTATCTTTCAGAGGAGACTAAAAAGCGCAAGTACGAGTACAACAGTGGCAGCAGCTCTAGCTCCGGCTCGTCCGACAGCGACGAGCCGGACGAGCCGAGCGAGCCAGCGCCGCCGGGCGCTGAGAACGGCGCCAAGGCCGAGCCGGCGGCTGAGGCCGATCCGGAACCGGAGCGGGAGCCGGTGCCGGAGCCTGACCCGGGGTCTGAGCCGGAGGCGGAGCCGGAGCCTTTGCCAGTGCCGGGGACGGAGACGGGGGCGGAGCCGGGGTCGGAGACAAAACCGAAGCTTGACGCTGAACCGACCGCCGCGGAGCCGGCGCCGGCTGCCGACGGGGCCGAGAAGGCGCGCCGCGAGGAAGACGGCGAAAAGCCGACCGATGATAACGCCAAGGATAAGGTCAAGGAGGAGCCGCGGCCACGTCCGCTGCACAAGACCACCTCCATCTTCCTGCGCAACCTGGCACCTACCATCACCAAACAAGAGGTGGAGGCGGTGAGTGGAGCGGGGAGGGGAGAGGGCTGACCTGGGCTGGGCCGGCCGCAAGGACGGGCGCCGTCTGGCGCCGGCACGCGCCAATAGCCCTGCCGGTACCGCACAGGTGTACATCAGGCGGCACTGTTCAGCGCTGTGTTTATGCCGTGCCTTCATTGAACAGCCACCTCTCTCCGGTGCCCACGTGTGGTGTAGTCCTCTTCCTTACTTATGTTTTCCTCAACAAATCCAAGGTCAAGGTCCATATCTACAGCGGTCCATAGCGCTTGGAATTAGACGGGTGCAGCTTGTTTGCGTTCGTGTGCCGCGCCGAGCGGTCCACCGCTCGTGGTGGCAGTCGGGTTATGGCCGTTGCTCCAGTCTGAGCAGAAGCGGGCGGTGCCTGACCGGCCCCAGCGGGCCCGGTCGGTCTGTGACGGGCACACCGTTCTCTGTGCTCGCTGGGCCGTCGCCTTGCGAGCCCTGCGAACCGTCGGCCTCCGGTGCCTTCTTGCTGGCCGGATATTACCGCTGCAGTTCTCTCCCCAAACCGCAGCAGTCGTAACAGATAGGTGCTACCCAATGCCAGGGCCTGCGGGGGACGTTTAATTTACTGCGGTCGTCAGTGGACTTCACTTCACGTTGAATGGGAACATCGTCACAGGGACCGGCATTCCCGGAGCCTGTGGAAAAACTGCCATCCGAATTACGTGGATATATTCCGCGTACCAATGTATGTTCTTTGCCGACATTTTATCCAGTTTCTTGCGGATACATTTCATTTCCTGTGCGATTGACGACAGCGGCAGTGTAGAGAAGCGCTGCGCTGCTCAGGAAAGACGCTAATAAACATAAGGTTAGAATGGCCTCTGCAGGAAAGAAATTCGCTAAATCTCGCTCTCGTTATACTTGAGAATATTTCAGCGCGCTGTAACATTCGCCCACGGACTGTCACATTTGATGCCTGTTCAGATGCTTACGACAGCTTGGCACGTGGGTCGTCTTTTCTGCAAAAGTGTTGTGTCTTGTTTTCCGTTGAATGCGAGGCTCAGTATTCACAACTTGATGTGATCCTAAAGCCTTCTTTTGAATACGCTTACCATTGCTGGGGTATTTTTTGCCGGGGCTTGCCGGAAGTGTCTGAACTCGAGCCGCCGAGCTCGCACCTCCGGAAGTAAGCCCGACAGCATTGGACGTCCAGGTGTTCCCCATTACGGCGTATTTGGCCTCTAGCGCATTTGGAAGGTATCCGTGCTATGGGCCTCATCGGGGTGGTTTGCATACTGAGACGACAGGTGGGTCAGTTATATCATCTACTCTGGTCCATAATATATGACATGTTCGAAACCAGATCTGACGTAATGTTAAGAGTTGAACCGATGTGGCCTTGGCTTCCATTGAAGTGAAAGTTGTGAGCTGATGACGCTTATCATGTAATCGCTTCACATTATCGGAATCTTTATGTAACGTCTGAGGGTCGAACTGATTGCCACGTAAGCGTTGATTTTTCAATAATCCGTGCTGAGCGTTCAGGGCGAGACCGAATGCTGTGCCATTTCTGCCACCATGTAGCGATATTACGTTGTGGCTGAAATAGCATGGCATCCCAATTTCCAGGTCAGCGGTATGGGTTTAACGCTACACTTCTAAATTCTATTGTGATAACCCAAACAGTCTGGAATATAGATACCTCTGGAAAACAACCGAGGGTGTTTCGTCTCCCCATAACTGGCGGGCGGTAGATGATGCGTCTAGTGAGGTGTGTGGAATTACGCAAAACAATACTGAATACTAGCCCAAAGTACCATGACTTCGTAAATAAGCGCGATGACATGCTCCAGGCTGGATGAAGTTTGCGGCAGGTTGTAAGCAAATGGTGGCATTTGACATGAGTTCATCAGTGTGGACGGTCGGCAGATAGCACGCATGCATCACTTTTACTGCAGCCGTACATCAAATCTGCCCAAAACCCGTCTGTTCTGTGGTGCAGAGGTCATTGAATTCATTCGAGTGTTTTAGATTAAGACCCTATGAAAAGACAGCTCTCATCGCAGAAGTGCCCCTTCCCATCACAAGGGATTAACGCAAGTGGAGCAAACCTGAATCACGCGCAGCAATATTGTACTGTGACACAGCTCGGGCCATTGGTATTTTACTGATTACCTGCCCGAGGGTATGGTATATCTCCTGCGTGTAGATCAGTAGTATATTGCCAGCTTACATTTTGCATATGCTCGCTCGAGTTCTCTTTATGAGCCCTGTGGTTGTATTCCACACCTGAGCATGTTGCGTGATTTTGATTCACCGTTAACAGCGTCTTTTTTCACGTGTTTCTTCGCGCCGGGTGTTGGAGCGGGTGAACGTTTGTAGAGTGGTCCGCGGGCGCGAGCCGTCCCCTGGCACAGCCCGTCCTCGGCTGCCGGTGGCCCTGCCGCCCTTCCCACTGGTCGTCTCATTTCCCTACGGTCGCATTTATGTTCATTCTTCCCCACGTTTGTACGCTGAACCTCGACGTTTCCGGCGACGGTCGTGGCCGTCCATTGAAGATGACAGTAATTGTGTTGTGTCTGCGCGCCTTTTACCCCCATGCACCATGGTATGTGTACCGTTGTCATGTTGGCCCATGCGTCTTGGTTACTGAGATTTCCCACGGCGCGTTCAAAGCCTTTTGTGCGTACAGTTTGTTTGTGACGTTACTATGCTGAGCTTTTCGTGTTTTCGTTGACTGCATTTGGTACGTTTTCACGTTAACTGTTGACGTGTGTGCATGGGTTTCCGTTATTTATGGAGTGCCACAGATACGGGGTGTAACTACCAGCTGTGCTTGGATTTCCTGCGACCTCTCTTCATTGGCATGCTAACATATGCGTCGACGGTACCCAAGGGTCCTTTTGTTTCTCCAGCGTTGCCATTATTCCAGACGTATGGTTGGTTCGCGGGCTTTGCGATGTTGATCTGTGTTGCCATGGTTGCAGATGTGTCGTCGGTAACCCGGGCTTCCTGCGCGCGGCCATCGCCGACCCGCAGCCGGAGCGGCGCTGGTTCCGGCGCGGCTGGGTCACGTTCGAGCGGCAGGTCAACATAAAGGAGATCTGCTGGAACCTGAACAACATCCGGGTGAGTTAGTGGTTCGGCTGCCGCCCAGCGGGTGCCTTCCGGCCGCTGCTGCAGGTCGGGTGTGAGGGGCTCGGCCTCCGCTCAGCGGGTGCTCAGCGGGTTCCTTCCGGCCGCTGCTGCAGGTCGAGTGTGAGGGGCTCGGCCTCCGCTCAGCGGGTTCTCAGCGGGTGCCTTCCGGCCGCTGCTGCAGGTCGAGTGTTAGGGGACTCGGCCTCCGCTCAGCGGGTGCTCAGCGGGTGCCTTCCGGCCGCTGCTGCAGGTCGAGTGTGAGGGGGCTCGGCCTCCGCTCAGCGGGTGCCTTCCGGCCGCTGCTGCAGGTCGAGTGTGAGGGGCTCGGCTGCTTCTCAGCGGGTGCCTTCCGGCCGATGCTGCAGGTCGGGCGGTGACAGGGTGAAAAGCGGGACACTGATGGCTCCGCGCCGCTGGAGTTTGGCGCCGGTTATGGAAGGTTATGTGCTACCAGTGGTCCCTGCGCGCGGTCACTGGCAGCGCTCAGTGGTTCTGTGACAGGGCGGATGCAATTTCACCGGCAGAAGCACACCAAATACTTGCGCTGTCAACTTTGTGAGCCACCATTCGTGCAATCTCAGCTGGAGCACTTCGAAAGTGGCGTTAAAATGTGGGGTGTGTGATCTGTTTGGCACATGGCCATCCGTTCCGATGATTTTGCATTGGTCGGTGCTGACCTGGATGTAAGCTGGTATGGCCTTGAGTTCCTGCTTGTCTGCGTTGTTATTTTGGAGTTCTCATTCTGACAATTGACATTCAATTTGTCAGGAGGTACTGGTTAAACAACGTCATGAAATAAGCATGGGTTATATTGACAGGACTTGACGTGTCAAGCTGTGCTGATGATCGCTCGTGACCACAAACACATGCGAGAAAACTTTTTTCGACTCAGTCGGACATAAGTTCCGACATAAGTTCCGGCATAAGTTCCGCAGAATGATAATGCAACTCTCACTTTTTCCATGTCGATTAAACGAATGCATAACATGGAACTCCTGTCGAGCGACGATTTTAGGTTAGTGTCATTGTGCAATGTACATGAGACACTTATTGCCGGAAAGGAACCCATGAGGCAGTGTGCAGTAGCCAAGCAGCTTCACAGCTGTATAATAGCCTGCATTGAGGACACTCCGAACGCTGCATGTGAATGCAACGCAAGTATACGTGTGCATACAATGCAACTGTACATTTGCGCGCAACGCAAATACAGTGTATGGCCATGTGTTGCTACAGTACAGTGCCACGCCACGGATTTAATATTTTCAATTTAAAGATATGCCAGCGGGCATTGTTTTGTTGCCAGTAGAACATAGCTTGTTATGCCGCGGATATCTTTATCTTTTAAAAGTGGGTCACCGATGGCTAAAGATATTGCGGTGATGTTTTTTGGTTGGTTCAAGCCCGATTGCTATCGCAGACAAATTGCTGAGGTGTTGTATTTTTACTATATACTTGACTCGTTTCAGTTCGTTTATGCAATCGGCCTCAGGGATCAGGTATCAGTGATATTCCGTTGAGTTCCGGAAAACAAACTGAGAACACGGCCGAATGCTCTCACTGGCCTGTAATGGGATCGGATACCGACGCTGCAACACCGACGTGGGTGTTGTTATCTAACCGCTCAAAAATTGTACACCGCCGCCGGACCAGATAGATGAAGCGACTGTTTAAAATAAGCGCCGCAGGTAACCTACCTGTAGCACTTTATCGTCGTCAGCGATGTATTGAACTGCCGAACGCGACTGTAGCGCCCAGCTAAGTGGTAAAATGGCAACGGGATGGTAGCAGAGAGCAAGAGGACCGAAAGGTCAATAACAGACACACTGCCGTGCTCTGCTAGGTCACCTTTGTATCGGACGTGGCTTCTGATAACTACGTAGGTGCCACAGAGTGCCCCAGAACGCTCCAACCACCTCCGGGAGTTCCGGGACAATCACGCCTAATGCACCGCGGCCTTTCGTATGCGGTGAATTGACCTTGCTCCGTCAGCTGCCTGACCGGGAGTTGGCCGTCCTGGGGTGAACTTGTCCGTTTGTGTCGTAATCTGACCCTGGTCTGTGTGGTGACCTGGCACGTCTGTGATGGCCTGACCCGTGGTGACCGATCTGTTTGGAGATCTGTCCCGTCTGGGTGTGGTGACCTGACCCGTGTCTGTGTGCTGACCTGGCCCTTGTGGGTGAGGTGACCTGACCGCTGTCTGTTTGCTGACCTGGTCCCTATGGGTGTGCTGACCTGGCCCTTGTGGGTGAGGTGACCTGACCGCTGTCTGTTTGCTGACCTGGTCCCTATGGGTGTGGTGACCTGGCCCGTGTGGGTGTGGTGACTTGGCCCGTGTGGTGTGCTGACCTGGTCCATGTGGGTGTGGTGACCTGGCTCGTGTGGTGTGCTGACCTGGTCCGTGTGGTGTGCTGACCTGGCCCGTGTGGTGTGCTGACCTGGTCCGTGTGGTGTGCTGACCTGGCCCGTGTGGTGTGCTGACCTGGCCCGTGTGGTGTGCTGACCTGGTCCGTGTGGTGTGCTGACCTGGCCCGTGTGGTGTGCTGACCTGGCCCGTGTGGTGTGCTGACCTGGTCCGTGTGGTGTGCTGACCTGGTCCATGTGGTGTGCTGACCTGGCCCGTGTGGTGTGCTGACCTGGCCCGTGTGGTGTGCTGACCTGGTCCGTGTGGTGTGCTGACCTGGCCCGTGTGGTGTGCTGACCTGGCCCGTGTGGTGTGCTGACCTGGTCCGTGTGGTGTGCTGACCTGGCCCGTGTGGTGTGCTGACCTGGTCCATGTGGGTGTGGTGACCTGGCTCGTGTGGTGTGCTGACCTGGTCCGTGTGGTGTGCTGACCTGGCCCATGTGGTGTGCTGACCTGGTCCGTCTGGTGTGCTGACCTGGCCCGTGTGGTGCGCTGACCTGGTCCGTGTGGGTGTGCTGACTTGGCCCGTGTGGGTGTGGTGACCTGACCCGTGTCTGTTTGCTGACCTGGTCCGTGTGGGTGTGGTGACCTGACCCGTGTCTATGTGCTGACCTGGCCCGTGTGGGTGTGGTGACCTGACACGTGTCTGTGTGCTGACCTGGTCCATGTGGGTGTGCTGACCTGACGCCGCCCTCCACCAGCTGCGGGACTGTGAGCTGGGGGCCATCGTGAACCGGGACCTGTCGCGACGCGTGCGCACGGTCAGCGGCGTCACGTCCCACAAGCAGGTGGTGCGCGCCGACATCAAGCTATCGGCGCGCATCATCCAGAACCTGGACTCGCGCTACCAGCTCTGGCCTGACCCGGACACCGAAGAAAAGGACAAACAGGTGAGCACCGGTGGCGGCCGCGCGCGGTGCAGACGCCGGCCGGCCGTCGGAGCCGGGTCTGCAGGGTGTGACGACGGTTGCGGCGCCGCGGCACTGGTTGCGGCCGGCGTGTCGACCCAGCCTGGAGCAGGCCGGTGGTCGGCCGCCGGTGTCAGCTGTACGCCCGCCAGTGCGCTGGCGCTTGGCAGCCGGAGCCGGAACGGGCGGGGGCGAGCCGCAGCCGGAGCCGGAGCTGGCGGGGGCATGCCGCGGCCGGAGCCGGAGCCAGCGGGGGCGTGCCGCAGCCGGAGCCGGCGCCGGCGGGGGCGTACCGCAGCGCCGCCGGTGAGACGGCCGTCGCCGGCTGTTCGCCGCTGATGAATGGTCGGCGTCCGATCGCGGCTAAACAGCACCGCTTCTCCCCGGTGCAGATGAATTCGCGAGGTCCGCCCGGTCATTAATCTCGGCGTCCGGCCGCTGATGAAGTTATTCGGGCGGACGCGCACGCTAGAGAGGCGGGCAGGCTGCGGTGGGACGGTGGTGGCGCCAGCAGCGGCGGACGCGCCGCGCTCCGCCAGCGTCTGGCTGGTGGCTGGGGCGCCTGTCGCTAGCACCGGCTCGCGAGCCCCAGCGTGCTCGCGCTCTGCACCGATCTTTGGGTGTTGAAAATGATGGCTTGTATGCGTGGCAGACAGCCCCCTGGCCTGGCTGTCACCGGGTAGGTCTGGTCACCGTGTTGGTCGGACAGGCTGCGGATTCAGCCTCCGCGTGTGAGCGCCGCCATGCAACCATATTCTGGAGGGTGGTCATGCGAGGTGTGGGTGTTGTGGGTGCGTGCGTGGTCGCGCGACGCGCTGAGGTGTGCCTGTGATGCGACGGCGCGCCTTCTGCGGCAGCCGTCGTACGGCGTGTCCAGCAAGAACCCTATCCTGCGCAACATCACCGACTACCTGATCGAGGAGGCGTCGGCCGAAGAGGAGGAGCTGCTGGGCGTCAGCGCTTCCAGTCAGGAGGAGGCCGGTCCGGCCGGGCCCGACACGATCGAGCGCGACGACGAGCTGATCAAGGTGAGCGGCGGCTGGTGCCGGTCCGCCGGCCACCCGGCTGCCGTCCCCCGCACGCCGTCTGACGCTGACGGGCCGGCCGGCCGGCGCCGTCTGCTGTTGACAGCGAGCTGCCCACCTACCAGGCGCCGCTGCTCGCCTCTGGCCGTATGGACCTGTTGTATGTCGGGCGTAAAGCCGTGGGACACGGCGGCCGGCGGCTGCGGCGAGTGGACCACCTATCGTTGTGCGGATCGGCCGCGTTTCGGTCTTACATGCCCGGTCTTTCACGCAGGGACTCAACCACTGGCCTGTGGCTGCCCGGATCTGTGGTTATCGCGTCGAAAGCGGACGAATTTATGATATCCCCTCGAGGGTGCCATGAAAATGCATCGGTATCATAGCTGGTCAATGCGAATCATGCAAGACAATTCTCTTATAAGGTCCCTGATTGCATAAGCCACACACGATGTGACTGATGTGTACTTGTAAACGGCTTACACTCGTATCCCGGCAGCAGTCCCCGCCTATCGAGTCTCCCATCCTGTCATCACTCCTGGCCTGTCGAGTCTGCCATCCTGTCATCAGTCCTGGCCTATCGAGCCTCCCATCCTGGCATCAGTCCTGGCCTACCGCGTCTCCCACCCTGTCGTCAGTTCTCCCCTATTGAGTCCCCTATCCTGTTGTCAGTCCTCGCCTATCGTGTCTCCCATCCTATCGTGTCTCCCATCCTGTCGTGTCTCCCATCCTGTCGCGTCTCCCATCCTTTCATCAGTCCTCGTCTATCGAGTGTCCCATCCTGTCGTCAGTCCTGACCGATCGAGTCTCCCATCCGGGTGCCGGTAGTGTAGCGGCTAACGCATCTGCGTTAACCACTGCGCGTCTGGGAAACCAAACGTACGGGGTTCGATTCCCCGCGGTGCCCGCCCTTCCTGCCAGGGTGAGAGGCAGGCGACGCCATATAGGCTCAGCAGCTGAGTGCGTCGTAAAGCCCCATTAACACACGAGTCTCCCATCCTGTCATCAGTCCTGACCTACCGAGTCTCCCATCCTGTCGGCAGTTCTCCCCTATTGAGTCTCATATCCTGTCGTTAGTCCTCGCCTATCGTGTCCCCCATCCTGTCGTGTCTCCCATCCTGTCGCGTCTCCCATCCCGTCATCAGTTCTCGCCTATCGAGTGTCCCATCCTTTCATCAGTCCTCGTCTATCGAGTCTCCCATCTTCTCGTCAGTCCTCGCCTATCGAGTCTCCCATTCTGTCGTCAGTCCTCGCCTACCGTGCTGTCAGCGCCGTGCTGGTTGACAGGATCATTGTTGCCAGTCCCCTCCGCCGCGCCTGGTGGAGGAGACTGGCAACATCCCTTTATTAAAGATCCCTTTATTCCCGCGACTCTTTCGTCCGATTTCATGACTGTGACTTGCATTGCCAGGTCTTGGACCGTCTGCTGCTCTATCTGCGCGTGGTTCATTCAGTCGACTACTACAACCACTCTGAGTACCCCAACGAGGACGAGATGCCGAACCGCTGCGGCATCATCCACGCCCGCGGCATGCCTCCCAGCTCCAAGGTGAGCCGATGAGCGGCATGGGCCGAACCCCAGTCCCAGACGTGGTGGCGGCGCGCCTTATGCAGGGCGCGTCAAGTGCGCTGTTTTGGGTTTTTGAAATGAGTTAAACACCAATGAGTGTTATTCATTGTCATTGCGGTCCCGCTAACAGCTGCTGTCTGCTATTGCTGAGCTCTCGATAGTTTTTTTTTTTTGTAGTATCGCACGTCGTTTGAAGGAGACTTTGTTTGCAAACGCGCAATGTTTTGAACGAAGCTTCAGATGTGCGAGTCTTCGTCAGATATCATCTGTTTGATGATCTGAATGCCACAAATGGCATCGTAGGATAGCCTGTTGGAGATTAAAAGATAATTGACACGTGATATTGAGCACAACTTTTTCGTTTACATTTTTCAAATTTCTCGCCCCACGTGCAAATGCTTTCACACTTCATCCCCGGAGGGCTTGCTGCATGTATTTATGTGACAGGATTGTCAGTACCCAACATGCTGCCATCCGAAGGCAAAAGGCCAAGTGCCGTTTACCCATTGGCACGCAGGCCTTTTTGCCTTTGGGTGGTAGGATTATTGCGAACAGTCTTTGAAGATAATGCTTGCAATTATTGGAAGATGAAAAGAACCGAAATGCAGGAATATCTAAGTTTGGATGTACCTTATTCCTTAAAATAGGTTGGAACGTCATACTATTCGTGACATCATTTGACACGTATTTCAAATTTTAAGCATACGTATGTGCTCAACACAAGACAACTATTCGCGCTTGTGACGCTGGAATATTTTAGTGCGGTATTGGGAATGGAAATTCACAGCTGTCGACTTGATCAGCCTTGTTGATCTGGCGCGCTCGCTGGGTGTATGGACGGCGCCAGTGCCCAAAAATGCGCGGTATTCGAACGCTGCGAGCCAGAGTTATGGTCGCTTCTGGTGAAGGTATGCGACCCTCGTGATCCCCACTGCCATCAGGCACGGGCTGGTGCGACGCCGCTGGCTACACGGCTGGGCACGCCATGTGCTGCAGCGCCACCCCGGGCACCCCGACATCGGACACAGACATATCGCGGCCATCTGGCCCGTATCACCTGTCATCTATCATGCCTCTGTCGCCCGTCCTGCAGCATTATCGTCTGCGAATGTGTGGCAAGAGTGCTGAGTACCGTGGAACGTGTCAGCAAGCCCGCAGGCGGAGCCATTGGGCCAAGCGGGTGCACTGAGTGGAGCAACGACCTCCGGTCGGCTGCTGAGAAGAAGCGAGATGTTCACTTTCGTTGGGGAGGGTGCGGTTCCGTTGTTGAAGGCATGTATGGACACGCGTCTGCCTTTGCTAGCGGAGGGGTGCAGCGATTGGCACTCTGTGACTACTCTCTCCCCTTGTTCACTTCTGCCCCCCCCCCCCACACACACACACCCATACACACTTACCCGCGCTCCACGGCCGCTGCCACCGCCTCGGTCTGGGGTGCCGGGAGCAGTGCAGGTGATTGAAATGCCCTCCTTTGATCGTGTTGGCCGACTCTTCTGCGCGCCGATTTTTATCGTCAATGAAATTCGAATGCCGTTGAGACGGGCTCCGGAGGGCCGTGGAAATGATGTTTTGGCGGACGCCTCGCAGTGACTGTTGACAGCTGGGGCGAAATAGGCTGGGAATGCACATGCTGCGTTGAAATGAGTTGGATTCTCCGGCGAAAGGCTGCCGACAGGCGATGCAGCCACCGTTGCATCTGCCGCGGCATGATGGCGCCAACCTCGCCGCTCGCTCAAAAACTGCCGCAGACCAGGGGTGTGTCTGCCGCCGGCTAATTAGTTCTTAGTATGCATAGGCTATCTGAAATTGGCAATGGTGCAATAATCCGCGCGCGCGATGTCTGAACTGCCTTCGCTTGTGACGGCTGCACGGTAGGATAACTCGCACGGCATGGCGTTGGAATGTGACGTCTTAACCACGGCCAAGAGCGGCACGTTTCACGATGCAGTCGGGATCGACTTGGGTCATACATGTTGCACTCGTGCGGGTTTTCCATTGCAGTGCCTGAACTTCTCAAGCGATGCAACTCATCGACGTTGACGTTGTGTGGAACGGTCAGTCGGGGGGGGGGGGGGGGGGGAGGGCGCCGGCCTGTCGTCCTCGAGGCTTCGAGCACTCTGGAAAGAGGGCTCGGTGGGACTGCGTCGTCGGATACGCACCGGCCGCCCCACAGTGTGGCGTAGGAGCGCGAACCGTCACGTGATATCGATGTTCGCGGCGTGAAGGAAGCCACCTCAGATCTCCGCATGCAGGCGATTTCCCGCCGCCAGCGTCGCGGTACATCAGATCGTGCCAGCACTGCCTGGTGGTGTACACCGATGGCTGCAAAGGGCGTGGTGCCGGCGTTAGGTAGCGATTGCTTGTGAGCGACCCGGGTACTCGATGCTTCATGCCACCTGCACACGCAGCCGAGGTTTATTTTCTGCTGAGAGAATGTTATTCACCGGATCCGATTGCCTGGAATATTGCGCTGCGCGTCTCGCTGTGTTGGCCGTATTTACCGTCCCGCGCTGCCGGCTCCAGACATCCGACTGAGCGGTGCTGCCGCGTCGGCGCGTCTTCTCATCCGTCGTGTTGGAAAGGTGCTCAGCTCTGCTGACTCCCTCACGATGTCGCGGTCCATGTCAGCGAGGTGGCTTATGTTGTGTGCAGGTCATCGGGATTGCTCGCCCGTGGCCCGACCCGGCTGTCTCGCTGGTCACAACATCAGCCAGTGGGCTGGCTGACGAACGATCGCTGTGCGTCAGACCGGTGCTGCAGCTTGTGGGGAGTACTTTCCTCGGTGTGCCTGCCCACCTCACGATAGCTGTTCGTTCATGGCGCAATGCCGGGGATCTATTTTCAGAGGGTTTTTTTGTGTGTGGTTCAGTCATGCAGTTATTCAGTCAACGCATTTAGCAGGGGCATGCTTCAATAAAGGGACCTTAAATGCGTACGTATGAACGAACGATTGGATATAGCACAAGCAGCGTGATGTTCGATATTTGTTGTAATGTGTGGGAGTGTTTGGGGCTGGGGAGACAGGGTACTTTATATACTCGTTCGACCAACCATTTATGAAAACATCGGGAAAGAAAATGCATCAGTGAAATATTCCGTGTTCATCCACCCGAATGCGCTGGGCCGCTTGATGAACGATGTGAAATGTGTTGACTTGGAGAGAGCGTGCATCAACTATGTAGTATATGGGAGGCTCAGAGAGACAAGGTTGATTGATATGCTGGAAACAGCGCAACCTCCCAGGCGGGCTTTACGAGAAAAACAACAAAACGTGCCGTAAAAATGTGTTAAAAACGTGTTCGAAGCAGGACGGCCCCACACCCAATGCACATGTGTCGATTAATAGTTAATGTAGGAAGTGGAAAGAACTGTTTGTCCAGACTGATGCAGGCTCGAATAGAATTAAACGACCCGTCCGTAGACTATATTTACACATTGTTGTGTATATGTGTATGTACACTTTTAGTTATGGTTATATATATACATCTTACATACATATATATATATATATATATATATATATATATATATATATGTACATCTTAGTTTGCATAGACGTAACAATATTGGTCGCCGGCACAGACATCTTAGTTTATATAGACTTAAAAATATTGATCGTCAGAACGGAACACATCATCAGGACACATTCTTTCAAAATTGAACAAGGCTTCATTCAACACACCTCGCTATGTTGCATCACTTACATCGTTCAGAGCAGGTAACTGATTGGTCATGGTTAGCGCAACGCAACACGAGGTTATGTACCGCAAACAGGACAGCTTGAAAAATGCAAAATCACGCGACGGGTGTTGTATTCAAACAACATGCATACGTCATACATGTTGCAGTGCTCTTCAAATGACATGAGAGCCCGCGATAAAATACAAATAGATTAGCACAGCGGCTTGCGCGGCTGTTTTGCCAAGCGGTGCATTGTCTATGGGCGATTTGTGTTCGGATTATTTCGGGATGCATTCAGCACCACGTATGGGATTCCCTAGCCGACCCGAACTCTGGCTGCCGGGATGCCTCACGGGGGCTGGGTGTGATGTGCTGGCTGCCTGGGACGTTCAAATTTGGCTCTCTAGATTTCCACTGCGGATGAGGCGTTATTATGCATATGAAAAGTTCACGAAAACCCCGCCTGCTACCACTCCAAATGCCAGACCTCCCGGACTTTGTCCCGGGCATTTGTCAATTCTGTTGCAATGTTTCGTGTTGCCAGACACTTTTGTGATTCCAAAACAAACTCTGCTAAGCCACTGATAGTGTTGTTTTACCATACCAGCGAGCTTGGCTGAGATTTTACTGCATTTAGGGGTCCTTCTACCGCACCCGTTGCAGATTATTCTTCACTCGATGTGTGTGGTGTCTCTGACATTTTCTCAAAGCAAGGAGTTCGGGTAACGCATTCCATTGTCACCATGGCTCACCTTTCGCGCCACAACGAATGGATGAATGCGTAAGTAGATGACGGCTGCCGGACGCGGGCAACATACAGCGCATGCGCGTTTCGTCGTTTCACTTAGAACAGTGACCATCGGCGACTGGGCGATCAACTGGTCAACTGACCGATCAACCGATCAACCGACGCGAAAATAAGGCGTTGCAACCGTTTATGTAACATTGATGTCTTGTCGGGACAGTGAACATAGTTATGAATCAATGGGTGGTAAATACGGGCAGTGACTTCGTGCGCGCGATGACGTAAATTTATCCACAACCATGGTTACAGTTTTAACAGGGTGTCGTACTCGGCACAGGTTTTCGAAATGCCGACATTCCCGGCTTGCCCACCGATTACTGGCCCAACGGTGCGTTGCACAATCTCGTGTGGGCTCTATGAATTGCTGATGCGTGGGTCGGCGTTTTGAAATAAGGTTCGCGCCTCGACCCTCTCTAGCTGCCGATATATGGTATAAAACGTGAAGAAGAAAGAACGTGAAAACGGACCAAGTCCATCTTGGCTGCTTCTGCGCAGGAGACACGCGGCACGGGCGACCGTACGTCTGGGACCACGCGGTGCCCCGTCCAATTATCTATCTGAGCGTGTCAGTGGGTCGCTCCGGCCGGTGGTTGCTGGGATGTGGCCACGGTTTTGAACGGCTGCTCGGCGCTATTTTCGGTCGCGTTTTCGGGCCGCCCGTGCAAAACCAACGGGCCTGAAACGGTCACTCCGTCACGTACCACGCGCAAACTGCGGACCGCAGTGGCTTACGATCTCGCTGGGGAAAACCGCCTCGGGCACGTGCGCGTCTTGTCCAAGTTTCACCGTTCAGTGACCCGCTGTTCGGCCTGTGGACGACGCAACGCAAAAACGGGGCCCACGGACGGACACGCAGACCGACAAACGCACCTTAAGCAAGAAGTACATAGGCAAGTAAGGTCCGCCTGCCTCGCTGGGCGATTGTTGACAATTTCAGGCAGGCGACTGTTACTTTGACACTTCCTAATCAGGCAATTGATCAGGCAGATCAGGCATTGAGAGAATGTACCATGCAATGTCCTCTGGTCCCTGGTTGAGAATTGGTAAACTTTAGATCGGGACCAATGATGTGCTTACTGTTAGGAAATCACAATATCAAATTTTGCGCTGCTTTGGCAAAAGCTTTATAACTAACGTTGCACGCTGTTCAGTTAAATGCCATGAAATGTTCTGGTTGAGTTGTCTGTGGCGTGCTGTGTTTTCTGATGTTACCAGTTTGATTTGAGCCATATGTTTCACTGACAAAAGATTGTTCGAAATTGCCGGCTCGCGATTCGGCCCATGAAATTTACGAAAAATGTGCGCATGGATCTAAGCGGCATATTTCCTTCGAGCCGGCTCGCCGCATAACGATTGGTTCGTGAGCCAATTCACGATTCAGCGTGTCGAACGCAACGTGGTGCGCCAGATCTATGTGGCCGCAATAGAATAGCGTCACCTTGTCCAGCCTTGTTTCCGAGTATTGTATCCACCGGAGAAAAAACGATGGATAATGTGCCTTATCCATGTGTGTTTGTAATCCGTCCTTGTCTAGGGGAGTGCTAACTAGCTCTCCTTTCATACAACACGGGTAGTTGGGGGCCGTTGCCGGTATAAATACGAGTTTCGTGACATGTTCCTTTCCTCCTAGTTTGCAACGTTTAATGCTGGTAATCATTTCATTTTAACGTGTTCAGATTTAAGTGCTTTATTTCCCGGGCAATAGCACATTGGCCCCCCGTTTCTTGCCATTTTTGCAGTCGTGCCATTGCATGGTTTCGAAAGTCTCGTTAATCGGGATATGCTGCTTGATAAACGCATCACTTCTGGGTGCACGTCAGCTGCCAGGTTTGACGCTAGGTTGCCGATGTCGAACGGACTTCCATTTCTTAAGTACTTCATATGGACCGCATAGATTATTTGTTTTGAACTTAGCTCACTGCTTACAAATCGGAAGCATGAAAGCGACGTAGCCCCAGGTAATTATGCAGGGCATCGGCGAGTTATCTACCGGCATCCATAACAGATAACATGATGTTAGGAGTAGGTCGAGCTCATTGGTTCTTGACATCCCCTCACTGATAAACAATCGGCAGCCAACTCGCAACAGTTTCTTATCTCAGACACACTTTTTCAACCATATTTAAATACGGCCGTGCTATGCACGAGAAATGTTTGTCCTGCCATCTATCGGCCGAGACAGTAACGTCTGTTACATTATTTGCCGCCGGAAGTAGAGGGGTGAAAAGCCGGGGCTGGTAATTTACCCGGTTTACATGGGCAGCCGAGGATAATTCGAATTAAGATCGGAACGGATCATGCGACGTTAACCCTCTCGGCGAGGGGCGTTTACATGGGCGAAACCGGCTTTACGTCGGATTAACGGTCGATAGTTCGATCCCGCTTAGTTCGAACCAAGGAACGGGTTATGGGCGAAAACTGCGCTTTTGAGGCGAACTGAACAAAACAGGAAGAAAAAAGCCGGTACTCTGCGTATGGATGGCGAATGTCACGAGCCATGGTGGGCGCGAGACAGCTTTGAGGGCGAGGAGGAAGATGGACTCCGTTGGAAAAATTATCTGTGCGGGACTCATAGGCTTTGTAGCTACAGCACAAGCCATAGCACTTGAACACAGGAGTTGCGCAGTCAGCACTGCCAAATCTGTCACATAAGCAGTGTTATATGCAAATTTTTACTAGCAGGAAACTGGCTAGCACGAAATCAGTATTTTCTTGTATTGGCCAATGACACTCACAAACTTACCACACTCATCAGTATGCCACCCAGCATCACGTCATCTACTTTGCGCAGCCCAAGAAACACATTACCTAATCCCGCACCAATGCATTTATGAGCAGCCTGCAACAGTGAGCTAAGCTACAGAAATGACTCGTGAATGCTACATAGTGGCAAAAATTGTGTAACTATGTTGTCTTTCCCCATCCAATGCATCATCAGTACCTGAGGGCAGCATTGCCATTTAGACTTGGCATGGACTGGCAAGTCCGAATGCAGCTATTTGCTTTCTTGACATACTAGGGTTGAAATACTGCTTTGATATCCTTGCAGTCAACAGCATTGGCTGATATGGACTGATGGCTAGGTGGCACAAACAGCCGTGTCGCACAGTCCAAAGATCATAACGTGAACCAGCCCCAAAGCTGTCATGACAAAAGCAATCTGGGCTCAAAAATTCATAACAAATGATTAATTATAGCAACAGCTCAATTATCCACCTCATGGTTTGCAAAGATACGTGTCACAAAAAAGCACCGAGGCAACATATTTACTCACCAGTACAAAAACAGGTAATGATGTGCACTGCAGATGTTCTCTGCACATCATGTGGCATTAGGTTAGGTTTACTTAGTTTATGCACTGTTTTCTTCCACATGAAATGCACAACCCTGGATTTGACAGAGTACTGATGACAGCTAATTTCATCCAGTGCTCACGTTTGCTTTCTTGACATTTTGGAACCATCACTGGGCAATTTTGGTCCCATCATTAAAAATAGTTCACATTCTGCACTGACTGCAATGATCTATTGCCTATATTTGTTGATCCTTTGCATCATGCACGAATTATTGAGTTACCTATCTCACACACATTAAACCGACAAGCAACAAACAGCCTAATTGCATCAAAAACAAATATTCCAGCCCCCCGCTTCCTTGCCAGTTGGTCTACCAGTGTGACGTAACTTCATATTTCCTTGACAAGCCAGTCACCAATATCCAGCACATCCCTCCTGCCAATAGGTGGTCAACCAAATGTTCAAGTCACAGGAGGAATGTCTGCAAAATCAATCCTGGGGCATTTATGTATTCACCTAATGAAAGAAACTATTGGTACTCCCTGCAAGAATTGTTGAACAGTTGAATTACCCTACCTAGTGGCCTGCAAAGACACCCATCACAAAAAAGCACCAAGGTGACATATTTAATCACCAGCACAAAAACAGGTGATGATATGCAACACAGACGTGTTCTCCATGCAGCATGTGCCATCGTGTTAGGTGTTAGTTTATGCACTGTTTTCCTGCACATGGAACACACAAACTTGGATTTAGCAGAGTAATGATGACAACCATTTTCATCCAGTGTTCACATTTGCTTTCTTGCTGTTTTGACCCCATCATTGGGCAATTTCGGTCCTACCATTAAAAAAGTTCACATTCCGAGCTGACTGCAATGATCTATATTTGTTCATCCGTCATATCATGCAGCAATTTTTAAGCTACCTTTCTCACACAATTAAACCGACAAGCAACCAGCATCCTAATTTAAGGAACATCTGCAAAAACACTCCTGGGGACTTAAGGTATTAACTTAATGAACAAAACTTGGAGGCATTCTCTGCAAGAATTTTGAGCAATCCAAAAATTAAAATGAGAACAAGTCAAAGCTATATAAAATAACCATATTACCTCCATCTGGCTTTTGGACGCATGGAGCCTGCCCCAGATGTGAACTAATCTAACCTTTAGGCGGAAAGATAGCACCAAAACACCGTCGACGCCTGCTGTCTGCATAGATCAAGCGCCTAGCAAGGCTAAATTACGTGAGCATTTCTGTGCTGCTAGCCACTCAAGGCCCTCAATAATAAGAGTAGTTTTAGCAGCATGATGTTAACTTCACCTTCCTTCTCTTTTCCCCTACCATCTTGGACTTGAACTGTCTCGAGCAATAGCTAAAAACCCGTGGAAAAGCGGTAACACCGCACAAAGCTGAAATGGCTATGAACAGAACTGCGTGCGCCAGGCATTTTTCTTTTTTTTTTGTTTAGACAGCTGACGGCCGATAATTCGGACGAAATCCCTTCCTGAACGGATGATCCTCTCACGGGAAGGGATTTCCTCCGGCGCACGATTCGAATCAGCGGAACGGCGCGTGAGTGTATACATGGGCCGGATAATTCGGATCGAGGACGGGTCCCGGCTTAATTCGAATCACAGCTGCCCATGTAAACAGGGTAAATTATGACTTGAGGACAGCGGCGTGAACAGCCTCGTTAATGTGGAGAGGGTTAATGTTACTTGGGCCTCTCATCCGAAACCACCAGCCGACTAAGCACGCGGCTTCAGCGTAGACCGTCTGCAACTGGCTCTCGCGCTCAGCCATGCGCCTTGTGACTTAGACCCTTTCGTGATTCCGATTCTGTGGAATTTATTCAAAGTCTGAACCCACGTCGTTTGGAGTCGATTCCGACCCTGATCCTGATGGCTCACTGCAATTTTACGTCTGTTCCATTTCTTGCTTCGGAAAATATTGTTTATTTCCGCAATCGGGTCTAAACCAGCCATAGTGGCTCAGGCGATATCACCCTATGGCCTTCAGACCCCAAATAAGACACGTGTTTTGACGACACCTTTGCATCTGAATGTGATCTACTGCTTACGAATATCAAGTGACAAGCTATAAATGCATGCAGTTTCGTGTGCTTCCTTTTAAATTGATTCGCGGAAGTCTTGGCGGGCTCACGCAACTACGAAGAATATTGGAAGGGAAGCGATTCCACGCCGCTCCCACGAAAATCCGTCATATTTTAGGGTCGAATCTGGTTGTTTCCGTTCAAATCTGGTATGCAGGTGCTGGTCTCTACTGTATGAATAACGACGTGGTCGGTCTAACGAAACCCGTATTATCCTCTACGCTTAGCGTGATTGTTCGTCACGATGTTCGTGATCGGCGTGTCCTGTTTGGGACATATTCCCGGATGCTTTAGCCCCTGTGCGGTGATGCAGACGCTGCGTTGAGTGTGTCTGTCGTCTGCCTCCGGCTCTTCGCTGTCAAGGTTTGACTGTGATATCGGGGGGGGGGGGGGGTGACGGTGCGGCCGCCGCTGCCCACACGTGGCCGGCGGCGCGCTGAGCCGGCCCTCGTCTGCGGCAGGTGACCAGCACCGAGGTGCAGGATTACATCTCGTCGTTTGAGAACAAGATCGGCTCGTTCCTGCTGCCGCTGACGCGCTGGGTCGACGACGAGTGCCGGAAGAACGGCCTGAGTGAGTCGGCGCGACCGGTTGTGCGTGTCGGTGTCGGTGTCGCGTGGGTGTCGGTGTCAGTGTCGCCTGGGCCCCGCTCCGCCGCTGTCCCCGCTGTCAGTACCGCGCGGCACGCTGCTGTCATCGGCGGGCGCGTGCGTCACGGAAAGTCCGGGGCACGGCAGGAGACCGCGTGCATCACGTGTGTGGGAGGGAAGGGGCACGAGATCCAGCCGCCCCCTCCTCCCGCTGACCGGCCGGCCCGGCACAGGTGCGTCACTAATGGGGATCTGTGTTGCCGGCGACAGTTCTGAAGGATCCTGAGGATGAGGTCGAGAAGTTCGTGCAGGCCAACACTCAGGAGCTGGCCAAGGACAAGTGGCTCTGCCCGCTCAGTAACAAGAAGTTTAAGGGTCCCGACTTCGTGCGCAAACACATCTTCAATAAGCATAATGAAAAAGTGGAGGAAGTGAAGAAAGAGGTGAGTCTCTTGGGCCACGTGATCACTTAGTCATAAGTCATCACCACGTCAGTGATGACTTACGTTTGAGGCAGTCTGGCTTGATGAAAACTCGGCTTTGTTTGCTGTTCTTGTTCTGTTTCTGGCTTAAGTTGGTGTGTCTGAGGCGCCCCATAACATGGCTAGGATTTGTTTTGTGCGTGTTCATGGCGAGTGATGTGATGCCTCGCATGTCCTGCTTGGTGGTCACCGTATGATGTACGATATCGTCACAGGCTTTTGACATGCACGAGCGAAATTGCTTTCGTTTCTTGAATTTGGTATTTTCCACTGAGGCTCCTACGTTTTGGTGGACAGTACCATGGCAGTCTCACGTTCTTTTCGAATTTTCTGAACGCGGGAGCTATATACGCCACCGGGCGTGGTCGAAAGGAACGGGATGAGTTTGAGCGTGGCCAACCCGGACAAAACCGGACGGAACCGGACGAAATCAGACGAGACTGGGCGGAGAATGTTGCTATCGGACGAGGCAGGATGGCACCAGACAAACTTTTAGGTAGCCTTCTGCGAAAGCTGCTGCCTAAGGGTCTAAACATGACGTCAGAATATTTGTCTCAGCTGTTTCGTGACATCCCTGGCTCTCATCGGCTGCGCGGCGGCGCGTGGCTCTGGTATGCTCTGCGTTGACATTGTGGAGAATGAGGGAAGCGGGTTGCTCAGGGCGGACGCAGCACAGCGGACGGTATGTGTTGTGCGGCCGACCCGACAGTGATCCAGCGAAGACATTATGAAACCTAAAAACAGCCGCGTGGTATTGACCCGCTCCAGACATGAACAACTATGGCGTTTAATGTGTATGGATGTGTTAATGCAATGTGCAAGGATCATGTGTTATGCGATCATTTGTTATGTTATGTGTTATGTGATCATGTGTTATGCGAGCGGTGTTATGAGCGTGCCTATTGCATGCCACGACTGGCCATGCATTGGGCCGACCCGTAACATTTCTTCTTTTTTTGCTTTTTTTTTTGCTTTTTTCCTCAAATGATCAGAGCGTTTTTGACGTCAAACTGAACCATCACCAATTAAGTGGCGTGCCACAACTAGGTGTACGATTTTAACATAAATTGTACCCAGAAATATGCTCACCAATTCATGTTGCCATGGTTTTTATAATTTTGCCGCACGTTTCAGTTTTTTTGTACCCTCCTTTCATAACAAGAAGGTAATATACGTGACTTGTGGGCTCAGCGTTATACGTCTGTTTGGCGAGCATTTAGCTTGCACGGTCTTGCGGTCCCGCATCTTCCATTTACGCCGGATGAGTCTCGTCGAACTAGCCATGCTTGAACATTGGTCGGACGGCGTGGCCGAACATGCAGTCCACTGCAATGTTTTTAGATGAACTTTGGCGAGCAATTTGTCCTGCCTTGTGGGCCAGATGCCTCCTCGTGCTGCCGCGTCGTGGTGGTGGGGGGATGGGGGGATGGGGTGAAGGGTTCGAGTCGGTGACCGGCATGGGCCTCCTAGTACAAACATTTATCCGGCGCCGAGAAGCCGCAGCTGGAACTCACGGCTGATGAGGTCACAGAGTTGACTCGGATCATGTTCTCTGTTCTTTACTTCGTGCCTTGAACTGCACATGTAAAACTCTATGAGGAAATTAACGCTTCTGCAACATGTTTAAATGCCACGAGCAGTAGCTTCGCGTCGAAAAATTCGCTTCCGTCAAACTACCGGCCAGTTGAGCCCTAAGCCACAGCGGCCGGCTCCACCGACCTGTGAGGTAAATGTGTCAGGTGCCCTCCACCGGCTGAGGTGAGTGTGGCCCGGTTTCCCTCCACCTGCTGAGGTGAGTGCGGCTCGGCGCTCTCCACCTGCTGAGGTGAGTGCGGCCCGGCGCCCTCCAACTGCTGAGGTGATTGGGCCCCGTGCCATCCACCCGCTGAGGTGAGTATCAGCTGGTTCTGGACCAATCATTCTTGAACGAGCCGAGCTCATTACATTTGACGTTGCGGTCAGTTATGCCCGAAGTCCCAAATTGTGGACGTACAGTGGCGACATGGTGGTGACATCGGCCAGTGAAGAGAGTCGATGAAGATAGAAAGACCTGGGATGCCGATCTGCCCTGTTATTGGAGCGTCCGGTGCCCTGTGCAGTTCCGCCTGGTTTCAGTCTGCAGCTGGTTCCTCCCGCTGCCAATCCGCCCTGTCAGTCCGCCAGGTGTCTGTGTGATGTCGGTGCCTTCCGCTGCCAATCTGCCCTGTCAGTCCGCCTGGTGTCAGTCTGATGTCGGTGCCTTCCGCTGCCAATCTGCCCTGTCAGTCCGCCAGGTGTCAGTCTGTTGTCGGTTCCTTCCGCTGCCAATATGTCCTGTCAGTCTGTTATCGGCTCCTTCCGCTGCCAATCTGCCCTGTCAGTCTGATGTCGATGCCTTCCGTTGCCAATCTACCCTGTCAGTCCGCCAGGTGTCAGTCTGCTGTCGGTTCCTTCCACTTCCGGTCTTCCCTGTCAGTCCGCCAGGTGTCAGTCTGCTGTCGGTTCCTTCCACTTCCGGTCTGCCTTGTCAGTCCGCCTGGTGTCAGTCTGCTGTCGGTCCCCGTCTCTCCCCGTTGCCAGTCTGTCTTGTGCTTTGTGACTTTGTCCGGTGTCGTTCGCTCGATCTCACCGCCAGCTTGTGATCTGCGAGTGTTCTGGTTTTACTACGGCGTCAGTGTCTCCTGTCAGTCCGCCCGTGTCGCTCCCCCGGTCTCAGCATCCGCTCCTCGCTCGCAGGTGGAGTTTTTCAACAACTACCTGCGCGACCCGAAGCGGCCGCAGCTGCCGGACCATCCGTCGGCCAAGGCCGGCGGCGGGGCCGGGCCCAGCCGGAAGGAGGAGCCGCCGGCGCAGTTCCACGTGGGCCCGTACCCGCAGCCGGGGCCGCCGCCGCCGCACCAGTACGTGAGGCGCCGACGCTGCCCGCGGCTGACGGCGGTCGGGCGGGCTGGCGTGGTGGGCCGATGGCGCGCCCATGGCTGTGTGCGGGATCTCCGGGGGCAGGGCGGGGCGGGGGGCACAGCTGGCGCCGACGGCCGTGTCCGGTGTCGGCGGCCAGAGCGGCGCCCTGTGGCGCTCGGTGGCCGCCCGTGCCGTCCATGGGCTCGCCGAGCTCCGCTCAGCCGAGAGCGACGGTGCCCGGTCCTGATTGGCTCATCGCCGCAGACGTCACGTTGCGATGATATGTGTGTGCGTGTGTGTGCTGACGCGCGCTGTTCCGCCGACAGCGGGTACGGCGGCTACGGCGGCTACCAGCGGCCCCCGATGTATGGCAGCTACCAGCCGCCGCCGCCGCGCGACCCGTACTACCGCGAGCCATACCTGCCGCCGCGGGACGCCTACCCGCGCCCGCCGCGACCCTACGGACGCCGGTGAGTGCGCGCCAGCGGCCGGCACGCGTCCCGGCCGTGCCGCGTGCTCGTGTGACGTGACGCTGTGGTGGCTGCGGTCGACCGCGCCCGGGACGTCTGACGGTGCCGGCGCCGGGGGCGACGTCTGACCAGCCGCGGCGGCTTCGGCGGCGTGGGTCCGGTGTGGTGCCTGCCGGGCCGGGCGGGAGGCGCGCCGCTCCTCCCCCAGCCCACCGGGATCCGCTGCCGGCCGCCGTCACACGAGGCCCCCTCCGCTCCGCTCCCGCGCCCCGTCAGCGGTGTGGTGACGGTGGGAGCGGTCCCACAGTCGCCAGCGCGGCGGGGCCCCTCGCCCTCCCCTTCCGCCACCCTCGATGCGGCAGAGCTCACACAGCGGGCCGTGTGGCGGCGACCCTGCAGAGCGCCAAATTTGTGGCCTGCCGATGTAGCTCGCGCCAGACGTCCTACGCCTGCGGCGCTACGCCTTGCGCCCGCGTCTCTTGCCATCTTGCTATTTTGCCTGTTTCTTGTAGTTGTAGTAGTCGCCGTTGCGTGTAGCGATGGCTGCCAGTCGGTTCTTCTTTAGCTCTCTGTGTCATTTCTTTGGTGTATTGAAGTCAGAGCAGACCCAGCGAACTCCTAGATGCCTAGTGAAAATTGTGCTGAGCATATAGGATAAAAACATGACCATGAGCAAAATTTCCCATTTCACTCAGAACACACCGCCAACATTCCACCAACGCTCGTGTACATCGACTTAAATTAAAACATCCAAAGGAATGCTTGATAATTGTTATCAGACAAATGCGAAGTGCAAACGTTTGTTTCAGAAATGCATGTTAACCGTCTTGCAGGCGCGTAATTTGTGGCTCCGCAACAAAAAGCATGTTCCCTTAAGACACCTTTCTTATGGGCTCTGTTAGTTTGTTAAGACTAATGAGTCTTTATAAAAGATAAGACCCTTTCCTTGAATTAGTGGAACGCCCTTATTCCAAGCAGCGTTTGAATCTTAATTATTTCCACATATGGACTGTTATTACTGAGTTTGCTCTTGGTATTCGACTGCTACGCTGTGATCTATGATATTGTCATGATAAAACCACTGTTTTCTTCTTGCCTCGTACGATGTATGTCGAGACCCAAGTTACGTGGAATTGTGTCGGTTTAAGGAGAAAAGTGATAGAGTGGAGAGAGGCACTAAATGAATTGGTTTTGGTAAGTTTTTACGTTTTGACTAAAAAATTATGTGTTGGTGGGTTCATTCTCTCCAACATTGAACGTGGGAGGTTCAAACGAAAAAGATGCACATTTTCAGATGAGCGGTGGACAATGTTACTGACAATGCTCTCAGAACCCGCAAGCTTTCGTGTAATCCACTTTGAACGCACTGGTGAACGTAGTGCATGAGCGTGGGACCAAGTCCAAAATGGGGGGGGGGGGGCTGAGGTCACTGCGGCTTGGGTCATAGACTCTCTTAATGTAATATAAAACACAATTTTGCACCTTCTTTGCTACGTTTTTGCGCTATTAACACCAAATTTGGAGTTAACCCCGCCCCCCTTCAAAATGAACTTAATCTCTCCCCTGAACTGCTTTTGAATTCGTTTCATCATCATATCCAAATTAGCTGTACTATACTCTTCGTATCGCTCTGTCTTACGTCACATTCCGGCACACACATTACCAAGGACAAATTTATTACGCCACATTCCGGCACAACACATCACCAAGGACAAATTTAGTTTGTGGACGTCATGTCACGGTATTGTGCGGTATAGGTTGTCGCACCAGCATAACCACGGTGACCTGGTATTCCGGTACGGGACATGACACCTGACCGTATGTCAAATCATCGCACGAAATTGAGGTTGTAATGGGGAAGTGGCCGATGGGTTATCGCCTTGGGCACCCACGTGTACGCCCGGGTTCGAATCCCGGTTTCGTCGCGACCCCGCGGCGCTAATATGGCCAATGTAGCTGCTGGTGCTCCATGGAAGGGTGCGTGGCGACGTGTGTCGTGCTCCGTTACAAGTAAAATAACGGAAATGAACTAGTGCCTGGCATTGGTTTGGCGTCGGTTGAAAATGTAGGCGGAACCAAGCATGTCCTCGGTGATCGACACATTCGCTTTTGAGATATTCTTCGAGTGGAATTTGGTGAGAAGTTCCGTAAATGCGTCCGGGTTTTTTAGATTCGGTTATTCGGCATAACACTAGGGGGCGCCAGTTAGTGGACTCATCTATGTGGATTAATCTACCAGATTCGTGGGATTAAACCCACCGATCTGCCCCGGAGCAGTCTGTATACCAATATCCATCACGTTATTCGTAGCTTCATAAAATCAATACGTGAAGTACGTAACCTCTCAGTTTGTAGCATTGGTACAGGGTTGAATGAGACTGTGAATGTGACCTCTCCAACTGAATGTATAACAGCATCCAGTGCTGTCACTGCAGTCTTTGAAGACTTGCAACCCTTTTCGCTCCACTTAGTGTCAGTGCTTGCACATTTATTGTCCTGGTTCCCTTAGACCTTTACCATGTGTTGTGATGCTACTTCATCATATACACTTATGGCTGACCATCTTTATCTTGCACGAATGTTTATGCTTATTATATCATATTATACATTCATTTAAATTACAAAATACCACATGTATTGAATTATATCATACCAAATTTATTTAGCTGTTTGTATGTTTCCATAACCCACTTATGATTTTGTACATTCGGGCCTGTTGCTTGTGATGTTTTGCAATGCGAATCGCCATTCTTGAAGATCTTTCATATCTGATCTTTTACGATTTATGCACTGATATTTGCACGCACTTACACGCGCGCGCGCGCGCGCGTGTGGTAAGTGCGCGTTACACAACCGTTGCAAACACAAAACCAACACACACAGACACACACACACAACACACACACACACAACACACACACCACACACACACACACACACGCACAGCACGCACGCACGCACGCACCGCACGCACGCACGCACGCACGCACACACCACACACACACGCACACACACACGCACACGCACGCACGCACACACACACACGCACACGCACGCACGCACGCACGCACGCACGCACGCACATATATTTTTTCTATTTTTTATTTTAAATATATTTAGTAATATATGTTCATATATATATATATATATATATATATATATATATATATATATATATGAATAAGCTCCTTTTCCTAACCATTCGTATGCCACGCGACCTTTTAAGCACGATCCGCCATGCGGCTTTCTGTCGTACTATTGCCGCATAACGTATGTTTATCTCGATTTGTTCCCCGACGTTTTCCATGCTATCATTTGCTATGTCATCTTTTCCACGCGAAATAAGCAATAGTCTAACACCAGAGCTTTTGGTTGCATTAATTTGCATGGCCGTAGCAGTTGCATGCGCATTTAAATAGCAGGCGATGCCAGCCGATTTCCATGGGGACACTATAGCCACTGGGTCAGCGCATTGGACTCCCACGCTAGGCTGTACAAATTTTGGCTGCGGCCGTGAGCAGCTGACATGGCCTGGGCAGAATTTGTCGCTCCTGAAGGGTATGCGACGTCGTGCGTCGCGTGACGTTATGAGTAATAGTCAGTCTCCCCTACAGCTTGTTGCGAGTCATGGATAAGACTGATTGGAGTTGTTTGCTTCGAGTTAATTTGTGCGCGGCTTTCATTTTCGTCGGTCGCAACTAAATGCGAAATTAAAATGCGACGACGGACTGCACCAGCAGGTCATTCAATGTTTAGGATCTGGTCTCAGGGCCAGTTTCGCATTTTCAAAGATTAAAATCCGCAGCGAACGGCTAAAGTTCCCACTTATGCTTCGGGACGCTGTTTTCACCGACGCTAATGGGCGCCAAATGACCATGGGCAGTCGGCGCGCCCTGAAGCCCAAATCATCATCATCACTCACGGACGCCTGTTGGGCGCCGGCTGTGGCGTTGGGGCCGCTCGTGCCCCGATGCTGGCGGCGTGGACTGTAGGCGAGGGCGGGAGGGACAGGGGCCGTGTGTCGGCTGCGGCTGCTGCGGCCGGACTGTCGGGCGCGCTGATCTCTACACACGCCCGCACTGCCCGGCGGCGACAGCGGGTCAGAAACGCACCGACGCGCGGCCGAAGCCCGCGGCCCGGACACCTCGACCCCGGCGGCCGGCACGCTGCCCCCCGCGTCACCGGCCGGCAGCCGCCCTCCGGCCCGTCCGCCCGCGTGACTCGCGACCGGTCTGCATGTGCCCCGCACGCTCGTGTCTGCAAAGACGGCTGCCGGGCGCGTGGTGTGGCGCGGCCGGGGGCGGCCGGCCCCGGCGCCCCACCTGATGCCCTCCACCTGTGTGTGTCTCGACAGGGACCCGCGGAGGATCGTCGACTACCAGGACCTGGACGCGCCGCCCGACGTTGACTTGTTGTAATTCCCACAGCTGCTGCGGCCACGTATGTATAGCGGCGACGCCGGCGGCCGCGGCGCGGCGGCGCGCCTGCCGCCACCGCCGCCGCGCCGCGCGCCCGTCTGACGGGTTTTTCACATTGAAAGAGGTCTCGCTCACGAATCCGTGCCGCTCTGCTGTCCTGGCTCACGCTAGCGCTTGGCCAACAGAAACGGATGAAATTCTAGCCGGGTCACGATCCGCCTTCCTATGCACTTCTGTTCAGTGTCGAAAGACTTTGTCAGGGCGAGCTGGCTCGTACGTGGCGCGCGCTTGTTGGTCGAGACAGGGCGCCGATTGGACGGCCCGATCCGCGGTGAGCGGTCGTTGCGGTGTTGCAGCCCGCATCAGCCGCTGGGCGGTGACGGGTTTCTGGCCGTGTTCGTGAAAGCCGTGTTTGCTGATGAACGGTGCGCCTGTTTTTCAGGCACGTCAGGCCGCTGAGCAGCTTATCGGGACCTGGATGCTCCGAAGGACATGGACGAGTTCTAGCGCGTGGCGCTGTCTTCGGCACTTGTGAGAGCGCTTTTACTTTCGGACGTGGTGCGCTCGGAGCGGGGCTAAACTTGGAAGAAGAAAGTGGAGCATCGAGAGCGAGAGTGCGATGTAAATGTGTTTGGACGGATACTCTTGCGAGATTTGCGCCAATAAACGTCTACAGAACGGGAGTGGTCGCGCCTTTGGGCAAGAACCGTCAGGAGTACAACTATGTCGAGCGCGTGGTAAACGACGGGTTCACATGACGATCAGGGCAATCCAGGACGGGATGCGTTTCGAGGCAGTCGTGCAGATATTACGTTCTCACTGGCAGGCTACTCACATCAGCCGGAGGGCCCTGCATGCGATAGCTTTTTGTCAGGACTCCCTGCAGCTTTTGTCCGGTTTGGCCACGCCACGGCGCCAGCTAGACGAGCCTGTGTTGCCGCGCTTATGCGATAGCTGACGTGGCATGCAGTGAACGTCGACAGCTCATGACCGGCCGCCACAAGCAGATAAACCCAGAGGATGCGAAGAGGCCTGAAAATTCTTGTGAAATTTGGGCCGAAAGTTTGTTTGACCTGACTGTTTGACATGACATGACGTGTTGGCATGTTTTGACATGACGGTTTGACTCGAAAGACTGTCTTGAGAGTTCTCACTACTTCATTTTTTTCCAAACAGTTTCTTGTGCGGTTAGCGACGTAGGCAAACAAAGCACAGGTTTTGTTGGTTATTTTACGTCACATGCTTTTAAATAGCGTGGGATTTCCACGTCCGAGCACATGTTTCAAGCGCATTGCGATGCATGTGCCGCACGCAGCATGAAGACACGGCGTATTGACCAGTCACTGTATGTGACTGATGGTGCCAACGGTACCAGTCATGCACATAATATATTATGTCCATCACGCATCATGTCACGCCTATCTACGGCTAAGGCAAATGACAGATATCTTATACATGATTATCATTATGCCCTCACATGTGGCAGGATTAATTTTGCAGCATCACTAACCGGAGCGCCGTGAGCAACTGCTCGCGTGGTGCCAGTGCACGGTCTTGCCGGGTATCGTGGGCTAGATCTGGGCCGATAGCCCCTGAGGTGACCTCTGCCACCAAAGGTCCGAAAAGATCCGAAAACAGCTTCTGGAAACATTGAAGATATATAAGTATTGACAAGTGATCTAAAGACAACAACATGTGTTTGAAGTTGAGGGACTGGTTTTAAGAGGCACCCAGCTGCTACACGTTTGACAAATGTAGATAACTCGCATCCTTCAATTGTCGCGGTACTTATGTAGATGAAATGAAAATAATTATTCCTTTGACATCAACTTGCCCCACGCAAAAGTAATGCTATGTAACCAAAACACTTGTCATGTGCCAACGATGCCGGTAAGGTCAGGCGGCTTCAAACGTATGTCTTGTCGAACAGAAGACGAAGAACAGTCACCACCATCAGCGCCACAAGTAACATGAATATACTCACCGGGGTGACTCGGGCCATTTCTCATTGCAGCTTGATTCAGTCGTGCCACGTCCTACGGCCCTCCCCCTTGAGCTTGCTCCGGCTCCTCCATGGCCACAACCACTCATTTTAGGGACTTTGCAGAGCATCTTTATGTTTCAGTTCAGTTTTCGAAGTAAACTTGTACTCCCCGGGCGAATCAGCCGACGGGTTTTAAAACCCGGCGGATGTTTTGCTGAAGCGCAGAAGTAGAATTCGTCCTCAGTTATTCCCGTAGAAAAATATGATTTATCGGCGTTGAAGTAGGTATTGTTTGCTCATTGCAACATGATTCGAACTAAAAAGTCTGGGAATTACTCCCCGCGGCAGTTTTTGTACGTTCTTCTCTCTTGATTGAACTGGTTATTGAGCGAGTAGTATGACGGAAGTAATTAATCGCACATTTTGGAAGCAGTGTCGTTGCGGCAGAATGGTGCGGGGCGTCTATTTTTTGTCTTGCTCTAGACAATGCCTTTTGCAAAACGGTCGCAAAATGACCATTATAGTCGATGCGCCCTAAAGCAACCAATGGACAACATGCGTGTCTGGAACAAGTAGGAGACATGCTCCTATATGTTTCCGCTCCTGCGTCACACACAAGCGCTTCCGCCTATGCCATGGAGAGGGATCCATAATAAAAGAGTACCTGTACCTGGAGTACCTGAGTACCTGGGACATACGATTGAAAAGGCTTGGCCCTGGGAGGGATTGCTTATGGACCGTGAAAGGCCTGCTTCTGGGAGGGATTGTTCCCGGGCCGTGAGAAGGGACTTGCGTTGATCGAATGAAATCCCATGCTTCGGAGATCCCTCGGGCCGGTGATCTCCACGTTGGTGCAAGAGGAGCCTGAGGACTCTGAGGTTGAGCTCAGGTCTGAGGACCTGATCCTTCCGGTTTGCGGGTGCGATTCGTGGCGGTTGTGTCGAAGCCTTGCTCCGTTTCTGTCTTAATTTTTGCCGTTGTGGGACAATGTGGTAGTGGTGTTCTTTTTATAATTCTATCACGCATTGCCCTGGTGGCCTTCATTGTATTTTTTCTTCCTTGTCTTTACTTTAAAATAGTAATTAGTGTAAGCGCCTTCAGCGTTCAGTACACGCGCAACACTTCAGGCTCCACCACCTCCAGCCACCAGGAAGTGCTGCCACCTGCCAGCTGCTGCGAGGACTGACGGGGCGGATTACTGATCAGGATGTGAGCTCACAAAAGCTTAGCGTGTCCAGGCGCGGCCAGAGCCTTGGTAACGGGGCTACATGCTGATAGCGGTTACAGATAGATAGCGCCCCTTGATAGCGGAAGGCCCCCAAATCTGTGGCCAACGCGCGGACGAGAGTGATGACGTTGCTGAGAGAAGTACCTTTGAACGCTTTAGGACATAACATCTTACACTATTACATTATTCGGGCCTCTTCGCATACTGCCTCTGGCCGACTCGGGGCCCCTTGCGGACACGGTGCCGCCGTTAGGCGCTGTGAGGCCCTGACAGACGCTGGAGCCCCGACCAGTGTAAATCGCTGGCTCCGGCTTTGTCCCTCCTTGTAAAATGGGCCCTCAGTCCCATGTCGCCGTGGCCGACTGTGTATTACTGGTGATGTCTGACCGATATAGGCCATTATCGACATAGGGGCATCTGATCAGCACGAGGGGCCCTCTGGCTGGCATTTAAGTGCCGGCCCTGTGGGCCGGGCCCCTGAATACGGCCTCCGACCGGTCGTTCGGGCCCTCAACTCGGATTCTAAATCATAGGTTCCGAAGGGGCATGAACCTAAGAGGGACACCTGCCGTCTGTGCCCCCCCCCCCCCTTCTGCATGCACTACTAGCTGTGCCAGGCCGAGGCCCCGCTCAAATTAGGCAGTTTTCTGGAGCCGACGGTCGCAGTCGCCACCGCAGACTGCCTGAACACTATGCAGGCGGTGATGTACAGCCCGGAGCTCCCCGAGCTGTCGGACTAGGAGCTGTTGGAGGAACTGACCGGGCAGCGGCTGTGCGAGGTCATGCGCCTGCCCTCCCGCCGTCCCGGCCTGGTCCACATCCCCTGGTTTGCCTGCGATTTAAGGGCTATAACTCTCACGTGCCCACCCACTGCGGATGCCTCAGGGTCCCGGTGAGGCCTGGGTCCCTCCTCCCCAGCAGCGCGCACGTGTCAACGGTTCGGCCACACTGACCGGACCTGCCGGGCTGCGCACTCGACCTGCGGCCGCTGCGCCAGTCCCCGCCACACACGGGAGTGTGGCGCGAAGACCCGCGCTGCGCCACGTGCAAAGGTCCGCACGCAGCTTGGGATCGCCGCGCTTGTCCCGCTTGGCATATGCAGCGCAGGGCGCCGAGGAGCGCCAGCAGCAGGCAGCAGCAGCAGCGGCCCTTGTACCCGTCCAACGAGACCCCAACCTTCAGGAGTGGCCAACGCCCTCCCCCTTTGACACTACCTCTGCGACGGCGCCCCTTCCCCCCCCCCCCCCTCCGCATCTTCTTGAGGAGCCTGGGATGCCGATCCAGCGCCGTGTCACAGCGCAGCGCTTCCCCTCGGCAGTGTGGGAATACTGTGAGGGGAAGTTCCCCCTTCCCCGCCGCTCCTCCCCAGCAGGTCAGCCACGTCTGGTGCGGCGTCCGGTCGAGCCCGCGCCGACCGACCCCACTGAGGCGAACCCGGTGGCTGCGAGCCTCCCTGACGAGGGACTCGCCCCACCGGGCACAGGGGTTCTCTCTCTCATCCCAACACGTCGGTGTTTTTCCCCAATTTTCAGATACTTTCAACCGCTTTACCCTCTATCCAAAATATGGCCACTCATATGGTGCTTCACAAACAAACACATACCACATTGTAAAACTCGCACGTTGTAGTCAGCAACCAACACAACAGCACCCTATTCGAAGCCGCCACAAGATTTGCCGTATACTTCGCCCGTGTAACATCATCCAGACAATATTTACAACATAACAAATACATTCAACGCCACACTACTCATGCTCAACTTCACGTCTGCTTACACCGAGACATCCAACGCACTCTTTTTTTTTTTTTTTCTACGCCGTTACCCAAGAACAGGTAACCAGAAGTGCCCCTCCCTCAATCCCAGCGACGCAGTAAACCGTACGTTAACACCAGAAAACATAAAATCAAGTCGCGGCACTCCCAACTAGGAAGATGAAACAAACGTAAAAAAAAACAGGCGAAGAGGTGGAGCAGACCCGAAGGAATTGTGTTATGTGATAGGTAGGGAAAAATCATAGATGAAAAAGCTTAAAGTAGTCATTAGCCAAAGTCAGCTACTGACAGCCCGCTATAACCGCCCAATAATCTACAACCACTCAATTCGCCGTGTTAGTAAGGGCTATACAGTCGCACAAGTCGGAGGGGGCAATTACCTGGTCATTTTTGTGCTGGGTTTTGAGCTGGATGTCCAGGGAGTCCACCCAGCTAAGCAGAGCTTGTTGCTGGGAGAACTCCCGGAGCCAGCGCCGTGAATTTGGGTATATGTGCATGACTTTATGTCAGAAACTGATTATGAAACATGAAGGAGGTCAAATATGAAGTGCGTTGGATATGTACAGCACAAGGATGGCAATGTCTTCAAATATGTTGGTTACGTTAATATGTGTTCACGAAATGCTTGCGGATGATGTTCGTAACGATGGTTTTTGATACAGGGATATCAGCTATTCTTGGAAAATATGAAACCATAATGTCGTTCCACAGCTTAGGGCCAAGGCAAGATGCTGTAAATAGTCTATAATTACGAAAAGAGAAAGGTTGGTCTAAATGTTTTGCTCGCCTCATATCCATGTCATTGGATTCGTAGATATGTAAATCAAATCGAATGATGCAGGGAGTTGTGAAGTTAAAAATTTGGGCATCACAATTAACATTTGAGATTTAGCAATATCCGATAGTTTCAAATTTTTGTATCGTTTAAAGATTGGCTCTGAGCTTTGTGGAGGATACACATTTTCTATAAGACGCACAGCCCTTTTTTGCAAAATTACCAACCGATCTAGTTGAGAAACATAATTTATGCCCCAAACCAAGCAGCAGTAATTTAGATAAGGAAGAATCAAAGTGTTATAGAGTAGATGTGACGTTGTTTTATCAATAAAGTACCTAACCCTACTTATTATTCCAATATTTGTACGTACTATGCTCGCAACAAAATTAGTGTGGTTTGTAAATTTAAGAGATTTGTCAATGATTACACCAAGGTATTTAATTTCCTTTTTTCTTCAATAGGTGGATTATTAATTTGCACATTTAGTCGGAAATGCGAAGAAGGGTTGTGTAATGCTGTGTGAATGTTTTTGATACGTTCAGGGAGAGAAAATTAGCAGCAAACCAAGAAGTCATTAGAAGCAAAAGCGTATTGACATTGTTTTGAAGTTCGACAATACTTTTATTTTTGAAAACAATCGCAGTATCATCAGCGTAAGACAGACAAATCATGTTACTGCTTAATTTAGGCAAGTCATTTATGTACATTAAAAAGAGGATTGGGCCGAGAATGGATCCTTGGGGTACCCCCATTGTTACGTTTCTGATTGTTGATAGATTATTCCTTATTTTTACACATTGAGTTCTGCCAGACAAATATGAAGAAATGATTTCAT